CCAAACAAAATACACATTAGTATGCACAAACTTGGGTTTCAGAGTTTGGTATGTGAGTTGTAAAAAACTTGTTTTTACCTTGGACAATGCTCCACTCTCCATTGCGACAGGTTACAGGGAAGGAATAGATAAGTCCTGATGGAACATTGTAAGAGCCATCAGAGTATACTCCCATGGAAACAAAGGTACCCTGACCAATGGAATCAAAGAAAGAACTCTCCAGTTAGAATAATAATTATAAAATGCACTGCAAAAAAACAGGGAAGAGTTTAATTATGAACCTCTGGAGTTCCAAGGACCCAGTCACGGATGTGGTCACAAGCAGAGCTGGCAGCAGAAAGTGCACTAGACAACTTCCTAGCCTTGATGATCGCAGCTCCACGTTGTTGAACTGTAGTGATGAATTCTCCGTTCAACCTACACAATGAGCAAATATTTAGTTGAAATTAGAGTTTGCTTCGAGATAAACGAAAGGGTCGGTATGAAATGCATACCATTCATCGTCCTTGACGAGCTCACGGACAGGCTTTTCTCCAGATGAGGTCTGCACTTTAGCATGGTTGACATCTGGGTACTGTGTGGATGAGTGGTTCCCCCAGATGATCACGTTCTTAACATCAGACACTGGCACACTCAACCTCTCAGAAACCTGACCCAATGCCCTGTTGTGGTCAAGCCTTGTCAAACAAGTGATGTTCTTTTCAGGGATGGATGGTGCGAATTCCTTCAGGATCAATGCGTTGGTGTTTGCGGGGTTAGCAACAACAAGAACCTGAAAATGACAAAATGAGAGAGAAGGTCTGAGCAAGAGAGAGAGAGTCACAAAACAGAACCCAAATGATAATACGATGCATCCTATCACCTTGCAGTTTGGAGCGGCATGCTTCTCCAACGCAGCAGCCTGAGACTTGTAAATAGAGACATTCTTGGACATCACATCTTTCCTCTCCATTCCTTCTTTCCTCGGGAAACCACCAACCATAACAGCAACATTGACTCCAGTACATCCCTCAACGGCATCAGTTGTGGCAACAACACCTGATAATAAACGTGTTCATCATCTTACCCACTTGAGCGGTCGCACAGATTGAAAAAAAAAAATTAAAAACTCTAATTACCTTTAAGAAGAGGGAAAGCAGCATCGATCAATTCCATCTTCACACCATTAAGTGCTTCAGCAGCTGGAGGAATATCCAACATATGGAGGATAACAGGCTGGTCAGCACCAAGCATGATTCCCCTTGCAATCATAGGGACAAGAGCATATCCGATTTGTCCTGCATAAAGGTACATAAAAACAACGGATTCCAAATAAGAGTTTAGTCAATCAAATAATCCATCCCAAAATCAGATATGAGAGCAAGTCAATCAAACCAGTAGGAAATTAAGGAGGAACACTAGATGGTTCTTGCATGAAGCAAGATGATTCATTCACACGGAGAGACTATAAGAATCCTAGTGCTTTCGTCATATTTCAAGTCTAGCAAAGTCAAGATCCAGTAAATAAAAACGACCAGATCCAACGAAACAAGAGTCAACCTATATATCATCGGTCAACGGTATAACCAAAGGCTAAGCAGAGATTCGACTAGACTAAGCAAGAGCTTTGCGAATTTACTAGCAGGAGATCCAAAATAAGAGATAGAAGCTACAGGATCGCAAAACACATAAAGCTATACCTGCAGCTCCAGTGACGAGAACACGAACTGGTTCCTTGGCCATCGGATCTAGATCGGAGATTATCGCCGGAAAGGATCGGAGTTGAGGATTTTGGACTTTCGAGAGAGCGTAGAGTCAGTGAAGATATATTGTGTCCGTGAAGCTCACTCTTGTATCGAAGATATCGATGGATAAAAGATATTCAATAAATCTTATGATTTTGATGGGCCTTTTAAGATTAGGGCCCAAAATAATTTAGCCCAGAGTTTTCAAAACCGTGAATCAATTAAAACAGTAGATATGGTGGGGATAAGGCGAGAACCACGTCCACCACAATCTCCGGTATGGCGTCATCTTACGCCACCTTCTCAATAGTTACTCCGACGGTCAGCGGCAATGCTGACAACATTCGAGGCTTCGCTCGCGTACCCTTCTCGCGTCGACGTGTAACTCCATCACCGAGTGCTCGGAGGAGAACTTTGGTTGTGGTGAAAGCGTCGACGAAGAATGCAATGGAGTACCGGAAATTAGGAGACTCCGATCTTAACATCAGCGAAATTACTTTTGGCACTGTAAGGATGCATCTCTTTGTTCTCCTGAAATTGTAGTTCATTGTTCAATTTGTCGCTGAGTGGGTCTGTTTTTTATACATGGAAGTTTTGGTGAAATTTCGAATTTCAGATGACATTTGGGGAGCAAAACACTGAGAAAGAATCTCATGAGATGTTGAGTTATGCAATTGAACAGGGCATCAACTGTATTGACACTGCTGAAGCTGTGAGTTTTTTTTAATCTTTATTTGTTCATAATTCTCTTCAAGTTTGGTGAAATTGAATCTTTTTTTTACTTTATGTATGTGTCTTGATTATTGCCTCTGCATATATGAGCTAAAGACCTATCTTCTCTGCCCTGCCTTATATAACACTTGTATTGAGATATTGGGAAGTTTTTGGTTTATCGAAAAGGTCATTTAAACCATGACTCCATGGTGGGTGAGCTCTGGTTTATAGTGTAGTTAATCCTTTTCATGATTCTTGTTGTAAGAATTTACAGACTGAGATATGTATTTGTTCTAAACAGCACTAGTTAGCTGTTTTTACACTTGTGTTTAGCGTTCTGGCACCTGCTTAGTTGTGTGGTAGATCTGTTGTGGTGATTTCTAATTCAATTATTTACATATTTTTCAGTATCCTGTACCGATGAAGAAGGAGACTCAAGGAAATACTGATCGTTATATCAGCAGCTGGTTGAAGTCTCAGCAACGTGACAAGGTATCACTATTGGTCATTCTTTAGATGCATGTCATAGTGCTGCGGTTCTTGGATTCCATTGATTGATATGGCACCAGTTTATACTGACTTTGACTCTTAAAAGTTCTTTATCTGTTATAATTGTTAGCAAAGTTTATCCTTCGTGCTTGAAGTCATCACTGTCTTTGTCAATTTGATGGTCAAGTATATTCTGAATCAGCAAAGCCTCCTTTAGTTGTAGAATTGTCATTGATTCTTTTTTTTTTTTTTTCTGTGTACAGGTTGTTTTGGCAACTAAAGTAAGTGGGTACTCAGAAAGATCAACTTACTTGAGGGACAGTGGTGAGGTTCTGCGTGTAAACGCTGCTAATATCAAAGAAAGTGTTGAGAAAAGTCTTAAGCGCCTTGGAACTGATTACGTTGATTTGCTCCAAATACACTGGTAATATCGCCTTATTTTGTGGTCTAAGCCTAACTCATATGCTATATTGTTTAAGCAAGTTGTTCGTCATTCCATAGGCATATTATCTCTATATTCATCATCAATGTCTCAAAATCATGATACTGAATGATTTTCAGTCCAGGCCAGATCGATATGTACCACTCTTCGGTGATTTTTACTATGACACGTCCAAATGGAGACCTAGTGTCCCATTCGCTGAACAATTAAGAGCCTTTCAGGATCTCATAGATGAAGGAAAGGTAGTGCTACTTGTCAAAAATCAGATGTTATAAAAACTCTTTACTGTATAAACCGCAAACACAGTATTTTGAAGTGAACCTCGAATTCTGTAACAGGTTCGCTACATCGGTGTCTCGAATGAAACTTCATATGGAGTGATGGAGTTTGTTAATGCAGCAAAACTTGAAGGACTGCCAAAGATTGTGAGCATCCAGAATGGTTACAGCTTGCTAGTTAGATGCCGATTTGAAGGTAAATTATCTCTCTATAAAACCTAGAGAGCAAAAGTGTAGGAGCAAGTTCTAAACTCTTGTTTTGGGCTAAAATCACAGTTGATCTGGTAGAAGTATGCCACCCAAAAAATTGCAATGTTGGGTTGCTTGCTTACTCCCCTCTTGGAGGCGGCTCGTTGTCTGGGAAATACTTGGTTCCAGACCCAGAAACTACAAAAAATGCAAGGCTGAATCTTTTCCCAGGATATATGGAACGTTACAAGGGATCCCTAGCCAAGGTTTGTTCTTGATCCAATTATGCATTACATCCTCTTATGTATAACAATTAAGAAACGTGATAAGCTTTGAATATAACTGTAAAGCCACGCGGTGAAAGTTTCTGAGGTCAATAGTATATTTGTTCCGATGTCAGGAAGCAACCATACAATACATTGAGGTGGGGAAGAAGCACGGTTTAACTCCAGTTGAGTTAGCACTCGGGTTTGTACGTGACCGGCCCTTTGTGACGAGCACGATCATTGGGGCCACATCAGTAGAGCAACTTAAAGAAGACATTGATGCTTTTCTGATGACAGAGCGGCCGTTTTCACAAGAAGTAATGGCGGATATTGAAGCTGTTTTCAGAAGGTTTAAAGACCCTTCTTTCGTTTGAAAGAAAAGAAGAACAGGTTTCTCATGAGTTTGTGTGACCTCACCGTGAACGTCCGTCGATAAGTTATTTAGCATGAATTTGTTTTTTTTTTTAAGAGTTGTTGTCTGTTTCGGTGACTCCATATGATAGATATACACCACTCGATTCTCATACTATAATAGTGATGAACCACAGTTACACAATACGTTTCAACGCTCTAATGAATTATTTATAATGGGCCTAAACCAAATCCAGTTGATCCATTAAGCATATTATATCATCAAATATTGGACTTGTAAGAAAACACTGATGGGCTGGGCCGATATCAACACAGTCCAGCAAGAAGAATAAACGGTAACTTATGGCGTCAAAGCAGGCTAGGTAACTGTGAGTTAGCCGTTGAGGATGTAACGGTAACTTATGACGTCAAATCTGACAATTTTTACTTCAGAATTCGAAAACTATCCGTTAGTAATTTTCTCCAACGGTAAAATTTTTATCTATATATAGTAAGCAATATACACATCCTTCTGTTACAGCTAAAATTGATCCAAAAGATGTAAATAGAAACTCTCAGTCTCTCTCTCTCTCTCTATCTCTCACTACGGCGGCAAAAACTCCAAGAAACTCTTAAGTTCATCTCCGGCGGCAGCAAAAACTCAGCCCTCTTTTTTATTTTTCAGTGAGTTTACTTTTCATTTTAAAAGAGTTTTAAATTCACACGAGTGTGTCCACTTCCTTACTTTAAGTTTTGTTCGTATTTATAGTTTCATTGTCGTATCGTTAGGGTTTGTTTATTCACTCGCATTATATACTCCTCCTGGCTCTTTAGTGCTTTGTTTTGACCTATGTTGATACTGATTTATTCCATCCTATTTCTTGTTAGTTTTTCGTTTACAACTTATGGATTAAATTACAATGTTGAAATTAAGGTGGAATGTTTTTCAATATACTATGATCATTCTCATATTTTCGTAGTTATTAATCAAACATATCTTCTTCTTTTTGCAAGGTGCCATTCAGATGGGGAGAGCAGAGCTTTCAAAGACAACAACAATTTTCCACTACTAATTAGAGAGAGCCAACAACCGTTTACTAATTGAACCACTCCTTTAGCCTTTTAGTCGGTAACAACTCTCAACAAACAGTTAATTTTGAACATTTAGTATATATGAGATCCTTCTAAGCAGATTTAGTAGTATATATCGACTATCGAGGCATGTTATTAACTCTACTTTTCCTCCTTTTTTTTTTGTGTGAACTTAAAAACAAAACAATTCGCAAACACTAGATGAAAATACATTTTAGTCAAAGCACTTGTTGCTTCCTTAGTCAATGATCAGCCTCATGTTTTCGTTATTATTTATTTGATGTTATATATATATAGTGTTGTTGATCGTAGTATTAATCAAAATAATGTCTTTTATTGCAAGGGATGATTATTCGGCTGAGGGAAAAACAAAGCTGTTGAAGTTAACAACAATTTTCCGCTACTTAAAAGAGCCAACGTTTATCCACCAAACAAGCATTGCAATTTCCTCAAGAGGTTAGTGTTTTCAATGATTTTTCAATATTCGAATCATCAACAAATTAGTCGCAGCACTTCTTTAGTCGAAACACTGAATATTTTATACAACTACTTGAATTTTGGATGAGAAAAACCGAGCACTTAGTCATATTAAACACCCACGTCTTAAAAAGTACACAACTGCACACACACTTTGACACATGTGGTAAACACTAAATCAATTCAACCAAATCACTTATTAGTCAAAACTTGCGTCTTAAAAAACACACTAAGTAAACAAATTTAGGCGTACCACTTAGCACATCAAAATACAATTTTTAGAGGGGAAACTTTTTTTCCAACTAATTAATTCGTACCTTGAAATGTTTAATCGTAGCAAACGGGTAAGTGAATATTAAAACTCAATTAAACAAACTAACTCAGTTAAACAAATTGAATAGGCAAACACTTAACAAATTAATCTTGACACTTGACACGAATAGGCAAACACAGTTTAATAGCAACATTAGAGAGGAACAAACGTTTATTTTTAAATGATTCAAATTTCATCCCAATCGAATGAGAAGGTATGACTCCAACTTCAACTTCGCGCTTCTAACGACTTACCACTTATTTAGTTGACATGTTTGATATGTTTTCATTATTTTGATAAATGTTTTCATATAGCGAGGGAAGCGGGAAGCACATCTCGTACATAGCCGACAGAACTCTGAAGATTTGGAGAAATGTTTACAAATGTTTGAAGATCTATTGAAAAAAAAAATCATAATACAGGTTTACAAACATTTCTCCAAATCTTCAGAGTTCTGTCAAATAAGTAAACAATTTACCTGACATCAATTTGAATTCCAAAAAATTTGAATGTAAAAGCGGATAGATACTCTGCGTATTGTCCTACCTCGTTTGGATTCGAGTTAATCTTAATTTTTTGTTGATAAAAATAAAATAAAATAAATAAGTATACCAAAAAAAAAAAAGCATTGAGTGTATGTATGCAAGAGAGAGAGAGCATATATTAAATAGTTAATTTCTAAAAACACTTGGAAGCATTTTCAGCCGTATTTCAAAGTGGAACTGGAGAAGAGAGTAATTTGAAGTGAAGCATATTATTGGTCGTTTTTTAAAGATGTTAAAAACAACACAAATATTTAATTTTAAAGTAGTTTTAGTTTGGTAGAGATTAAAGTTAACGTAGTTGATTACCAAAAAAAAAAAAAAAAAAGTTAACGTAGTTTGCAAACAGTTAGATTTGGTTAGTTAATGAGAGAATGAATAATCAAAACGAAATTAGGAAGTGAGGAAAAACACAATAAATGGTCTCTCAGATCTAGATCTCGTCGGTCATCCCATCCATCTTTTCAGTTTCCACCACTAGTGTGTCGCGAACTAACGAACGTTATTAATTGATTAAAAAGGAAAAAACTAAATTAATAAACCGAACAAATACACAAGTTGCTATGGTTAATAAATAATCAAAAATAGTAAAACACTGATTTGGGAGGTTAATCAGCAATTGACCGACACAATGAATACAAAAAACGCGTTCACGGATTTATATTTTCATTCCGTGTCCAATGCCAGACAATGACTTTTCCCAATCGCCCAACTCTCTCTATTTTCTTCATTATAAAGCAAAAATAATAATAACTTCATATAAAAAACCTTTTTAAAAAAAAGAAATTGCAAGAATTAATTTGATAACCATGTCGTTGGTTGTTTTTATTATCTGATGAAACTGAAAAACGCATTAGGTCAAATCTACTTCTGTGATAAAATCGTTATAAAAGTCGTTTTTATTCGCTCTGATAACCAATGGATATATATACATATTATCATTCATATATATAGGTCCAAAAAAAAAAAAAAAAAGATTTAACAGCAAGTCGACAGTGTGGACATGGAGAGAGAGAGACCTTTCTATCAAACAAAAGCCTTTACAACGAAACACTGAACTCTATCTCACTATTCTTGGAAATTTTAGCCACTGTTAAAAAATTAAAAAAGAAAAAAGGTATCATTCCCTTGAAGAGGAGATCTGAATCTATAAAGTTTTCCTTTTTTTATATTTTATTATAATTGCATAAAAATCGTTCCTTTATAAGCCCAAAAAGAAAAAGAATATAACTTCGTTCACTCTCCCATTCTCGGATCTCTCTCTCTATCTCTCTCTCTCAAGTACCACCAGTTGGCCACTGTGTCTGTCTCTGTGTCTGACTCTTCCTGGTCGGTGACGGTGAGTTTCCCCATCTCTCCTTCTTCTGGGTTTTCTGTTTTCGTTCCATTTTTTTTGTTTTGTTTTGTTTTGGGTTTGAGATTCGTGTTTCATTCATTCATTCATTCATTCTCTGCGTTATTGGGACATTCGTTACTCAATGTAGGGTGTTTTCACTTTCCCGGGAAATTGAAGTGAATACTTTTTCATTAAAAGCTTTAAACTCTACAAGAGATCTATTTAATTTATTTTTTACAAAGATCCAATCTTTTTACTACTCTCTTAACCATAACAAAATTAAAAAAAAGTTGTCGGTGGCTACACTTTATTATTATGTATGTTTCTTGGTTTACACTTAACTTTGGTTCTGAATCAAGATGCTTTCCTGTGTGGTTTCTGACCCAATAAACACGGATCTGAATCTTCCTAGTCTTTTTTTTTTTGTTTACAGCTTTGAGAATTTATTATGATGATGTTGTTTTTTTGTTAAGTGCTAGTGGCTATTTACCAAACTTTTTCTACTTAAAAGTAGTATCTCAGACTGTTTAAAGTCATTGTCTTTATAATTGTTCTGTTCTTGATTTGTGTGCAGAAAGGAGAGAGAAGAGAGTGGACAAAACAGCATTTTTGTTAACATCACTCTGAAGAGAGCTCTTTTGGTTGGATGATGAGAGGGAGATCTGATGGAGGCCAAAAGAAGCGCCTCATTGCTTCTGTCTGTGTCGTGGCGTTATTCGTCTGTTTCTTGTTTATGTACTATGGTTCCTCTAGCCAAGGTGCATCAGCATTGGAATATGGAAGGTCTTTGAGGAAACTCGGATCTTCTTATTTGGGTGGAGATGATGATAACGGTGATGCCAAACAGGATGATTCTCTCACCAATGCTGAAGACAGTCTTGTTGCGGCCAAAAGTTTCCCTGTAAGTTGTTTCTCTGATCAAAATCTCAAGTTTGGTGGTAACTGCACAATTTTATTATGTTTTATGTAAGCTAACTTTTGGTGTATATATAATACATCTTAAGGTCTGTGATGATCGGCACTCGGAAATCATCCCTTGCTTAGATAGGAATTTCATCTACCAGATGAGGTTGAAGCTTGATCTGTCTGTAATGGAACATTATGAACGCCATTGTCCTCCTCCCGAGAGACGCTTTAATTGTTTGATTCCTCCACCATCTGGCTACAAGGTGCTAAATTTTCTAATTGTTCTTTCATTTGATTTGTCTCTGGTTACATTGTCTTGATTGTTTTGCTATTTGTATTGATATTTAGGTTCCTATCAAGTGGCCTAAGAGTAGAGATGAAGTGTGGAAAGCGAACATACCTCACACTCACCTTGCAAAAGAGAAGTCTGACCAGAATTGGATGGTTGAGAAAGGCGAGAAAATTTCATTTCCCGGTGGAGGCACTCATTTCCATTATGGAGCTGATAAGTACATTGCATCAATGGCAAATGTAATCATCTTTTGCTCACTTTTTTTTTTTCTTTTTCTTGTGATAACTTTGTTTCTAATGATTTTCTTTACTTGCAGATGCTTAACTTTTCAAACGATGTATTGAATGACGAAGGGAGATTAAGAACGGTTCTTGATGTTGGATGTGGAGTTGCAAGTTTTGGAGCTTACCTTCTTGCATCTGATATAATCACAATGTCATTAGCGCCTAATGATGTTCACCAGAACCAAATCCAGTTTGCGTTAGAGAGAGGAATCCCCGCTTATCTTGGTGTTTTAGGTACCAAAAGGCTTCCTTACCCGAGCAGATCATTCGAGCTAGCTCATTGTTCTCGATGTAGGATCGATTGGCTTCAAAGAGATGGACTCCTCCTTCTTGAGCTCGATCGTGTACTAAGACCTGGCGGTTATTTCGCTTACTCTTCACCTGAAGCTTATGCACAAGATGAAGAGAATTTGAAGATCTGGAAGGAGATGAGTGCTCTTGTTGAAAGAATGTGTTGGAGAATCGCTGTTAAAAGAAACCAAACTGTGATTTGGCAGAAACCATTGAGTAATGATTGTTACTTGGAGAGAGAGCCGGGGACGCAGCCTCCTCTTTGTCGCTCTGACGCTGATCCTGATGCGGTTTCGGGTGTGTTAATGGAAGCTTGCATCACTCCTTACTCCAAGCGTAAGTATGCTCTGCTTTTTTCTTTTTTGGTTGTTTAGTTCAGTTTGTATGCTGTATATGTCACAGTCATGCTCTGTTTTTCTATATACAGATGACCATAAAACCAAGGGAAGTGGGTTAGCTCCTTGGCCAGCTAGGTTGACTTCTTCTCCTCCCCGTCTTGCGGATTTCGGCTATTCAACAGACACGTTTGAGAAGGACACGGTACTAGAATCGAAACCTTTTAGCAACTATTGATCTTACTTGATTGGTGCTTTCACATATTTGTTGGAAAAGCACATTGATTTGTTTATCTTCTTTGTTTGCAGGAACTTTGGAGACAACAAGTAGACAGTTACTGGAATCTCATGTCATCAAAAATCAAATCAAACACTGTGAGGAACATAATGGACATGAAAGCTCACATGGGTTCTTTCGCAGCTGCTCTTAAAGATAAAGATGTCTGGGTTATGAATGTTGTATCTCCCGATGGTCCCAACACTCTAAAACTGATCTATGACCGCGGTTTAATCGGGACAAATCATAACTGGTATGTACCCGAAAACCAAAAACTTTCCCTCAATTATGTAACAGTAGCTCACTTTCTCACCATTCCTTTTTCTGTTTCTGGTTGAATTTAGGTGTGAGGCTTTCTCTACATACCCGCGAACATACGATATGTTGCACGCTTGGACCGTATTTTCAGACATCAAAAGCAAAAGATGCAGTGCGGAGGATCTATTAATCGAGATGGATCGGATTCTTAGACCTACAGGATTTGTCATCATCAGAGATAAGGAAAGTGTTGTTGAATCAATCAAGAAGTATATGCAGGCTTTGCATTGGGAGATTGTTGCGTCGGAGAAGGTAGCTACAGGCTCAGAACTTGACCAAGAGAATGACGATGGTGAGAGCAATGTCGTTTTCATCGTCCAGAAGAAACTGTGGCTCACCAGTGAAAGCCTTAGGGACACTGAGTAAACACAAACATATCAAACAAAGAGAGAAAGAAATTGTTTAAATTCTACAAGTTTTTTTTTATATAGTTTTAATTTGATTTTTGTAGTTGAATTGTACGACATAAGCATTACTATGGTATAATACTAAAATTATTCATTGTTTTCTTGAAACATTCTTTAATTTTTCCTTTTAGTATGACCTTATCTAAGTATTCTTAACTCTTTAGAATAATTATGTTTGGTAAGAAAATGTGTTTCCATGTGTTTGGTTAGAATGTTTAACTATGATCGTTGCTGTCGGCATAGGTTATTGAAGAAAATGTAAAAACAAAAATATAAATTTAAATACTACATAGTCTTTGGATAAATTCATTTTTAATAAAAGAAGATTACTATTGACAAATTCAATGAATAAATATCAGATGTATCCGCAAAATTTGATTAGTTCAACGAATATTAATTAAAACATTAACTTGTTCTCAAATTGAAAATAAATATAAATGTTTCAAAATGTGGTTATGTACTTAATTTAACCTTTAAAAAAAATAGAAAAAAAACAGTGTGGTTGGTTGTAAAAATTGGGATAACAGTAATTAAAATTATAATGCCGACACAAAGGTAAAAGAAAAACAAAATTATTCTCTCTTTTTTTTTTGTTAACAACAAAATTATTCTCTATCAGTCAGTCTATATATAGATAGATGGTAGAGAAATAAAGAGCATCCAATTCCAAACTTAATAAATATGTGATATATAAAAGATTATAATATAATTAATGATGGACCTATTAAACAGTACATGTTGATTTGTTGTTGTTATTATATGGTGACTGAGATGTTTTCTACTAATAGTGCCAAAATTAAAAGAAAAAAATGGGGTAAAGTAAAGCTTAATGTAAATTAAGCATGTGGGGGGAGAGAGATTATTATACAAATAAGTACGCAACTTAAACAGAGAGAGTTGTTGTTGACCTTTTTGTCTATTCAAGATAAGGCAAAATATATATTAAAAAAAAAAAAGAAAAAATCAACCAGGGCTCTTCTTCTTCTCTACACTAGTTTTGTGAATTTTCCTAGAAAAAATCTCATCTCTCCCTAGAAAAGTAAATACAAATCAGAGGTCTATCCATATCAGATTTCCCCATCACTCTTCTCGTCTAAAACGATAACTTTTTCTCGCCGCGTTTTTTCTTTTTTTCTTCTCTTTTTTTTTTTAGTTTCTCGAAAGAAAGACTCTTTAAATTTTCTCTCTGATCTGAAAGTCTGAAAGTCTGATTAGTCTGAAACTTTGGTTTTTATTAGTTGCAGTTCGATGGTGATGGTTGGTTGTAAATGGGTAATCTCAGTTTGGTTGTAGCAAAATCTAAGTCCGTCAACTACAGTTTTTAGATTTGTTTAGAAATATTTCGTCAAATCATCGATTTTGGTTATTCATCCAAGGATCAAAAGCTTTTTCCTTTTTTTTCTCGTGTGTGAATTTGTCTCTTGTATAAGAAAGTCTCGAGGTTTTTTCCAGACTTTCTAGTTTTTTTTTTCTTTTCTTTTAAGTTAGAAGAAGGTCATTGGGATCCATTCGATCGGATTTTAGGCGACGCGATTTGTGATCTGTGTGAAACTAATTTCAGAGATCAAGCTTTCTATAGCACTTAGTTGAATTGGTATTGAAATTCATACGTAGTAGAAAGGAAAAAAGTATACTTTTTTTAATTTCGGTTATAGAAAAAATGGATCGTGTGGTTGGTGGTAAGTTCAAGCTCGGACGAAAGCTTGGAAGTGGTTCCTTTGGTGAAATTTTCCTAGGTATTGTCTCTTTTTTCTTTTCTTTAATATTCCTCTTTTTTGTTATCATGTCTTTACTTTTCCCTACTCTTTTTTTTTTCTGAATTGGTTTTGTTTCTCAGGGGTGAATGTGCAAACTGGAGAAGAAGTGGCTGTTAAGCTCGTAAGTTCAATATTATTTTGTCTCTTAATGATCAGTGCTTATATTTGATTTTGTTTTACTTTCTTATTACATGAGCTTAGTAATGCTGGTTTGATTTCTTATGTTATATACATAATAATAGTTCTTGTTGGTCATTGTCTTAAGTGTTTAAACTCGATATTGATAATTTACTTCTTCACGCAGGAGCCTCTTCGAGCTAGGCACCCTCAGCTTCATTACGAGTCAAAGCTTTATATGCTTCTCCAAGGAGGAAGTAGGTTTTGCGTTTTGTGTCCACTCTTAAGAGTTCAAATCTTCTTTTTGATATATTAATGTATATGTCTTTTTTTGTTATTGAAGCTGGTATTCCTCACCTCAAATGGTTTGGGGTTGAGGGTGAATACAACTGTATGGTGATCGACCTTCTCGGTCCTAGTATGGAGGAATTTTTCAACTATTGCAGTCGATCTTTCACTCTTAAAACGGTTCTGATGCTCGCTGACCAGATGGTAAATATGTTTCCTGCCTTCTGCCATACTGTTTGATTACATGTATTTACACATTTTGGTTTCGAATTTTAATTTTCGCCAGATAAACAGAGTCGAGTACATGCATGTACGAGGCTTCCTTCATCGTGATATCAAGCCTGATAACTTTTTGATGGGTCTTGGACGCAAAGCAAACCAGGTCAGTTTTTTGCTTCTAAAGACTACTGTCTGAGAGCTTCCGCAAGGATACACATCTTTTTCTCTTTTGGGTTATACATATCTTTGTTTCTTCCTTTGCAGGTGTACATCATTGACTATGGGCTTGCGAAAAAGTATAGAGATCTTCAAACACACAAGCATATTCCATACAGGTACACACTTTGTCTCGTCATGTAAAGAGAATGCAGCTTGTGTTTCAACTCACAACTTCGACCCACATGAATATGCAACTGCCATAGTTCATCTGTTTTCTTCAATCTGCTAATCGAGAGTTGTATTTGTTAGGGAAAACAAGAATCTTACAGGAACAGCTCGATATGCGAGTGTCAACACCCATCTTGGAATTGGTGAGTTTTTTTTCTTGCTTCTCACTATAGTCTTTGCTTTCTCCATTAGTTTGCATGTACCTGAGAGACTTGACACTCCTCAGTTTCTTAACTAATAATTTAACTCTTACACAGAGCAAAGCAGAAGGGATGATCTTGAATCTCTTGGCTATATGCTTATGTATTTTCTTCGAGGAAGGTAAAGTGATAGATCTGTTTTTGTTTGTTTGTTTGTTTCGTTCTTGTCTTCCTATTATGAAACTTGTTCCTGTTTCAGCCTTCCTTGGCAAGGCCTTCGTGCTGGCACCAAAAAGCAGAAGTATGACAAGATCAGTGAAAAGAAAAGGCTAACACCAGTAGAGGTAATTGTTTCGTGTCCAATAATTAGTAACTTCTTTGGTATCGAGTTATGTTCTGAAGGTGTACTGTTATAGTACTTGAGATAATGTTTAACATTTTAGATGTCCGGTGTTTATAATTACAACCTTAAAATTGCATTTGGCAGGTCCTCTGTAAAAACTATCCACCTGAGTTCACATCGTATTTTCTCTATGTGCGTTCATTACGGTTTGAGGACAAACCTGATTATTCATACCTAAAGAGGCTTTTCAGAGAACTATTTATCCGGGAAGGTCGTGAAATTGTCGAAAATACTAAATCTGATGTGATCATGTATATATAAATTTAACAGAAAACACTCAAGAAATTGCTTTGTATTCTTATTTGTGCAGGTTATCAGTTTGACTATGTATTCGATTGGACAATATTGAGGTATCCCCAGCTCGGCTCCAGTTCCAGCTCCAATTCCAAGCCAAGAGTAAGTCCTTGCTGAAGCTATGACCTATTTGTGCATTTTAAATTGAGTATCAACCTTCTCATGTTTTTCCTCTGTTCCAATAGCCAAGCTTAAGACCAGCTATGAATATTCCACTGCCATCTACCGACAAAGTGGAAAAGCCTTCAAGTAAGACCTGCTTCTACTTATAACTTTACTTACCTTTACAATCACTGGTAGAGTAACCCTTTATTCTTGGCCCAAGTTGCCATGTAACTGCTCTTATGCCACGTTTACTTTATTTAGTTTTTTGCTGAAGTAACCTGTCTTCTCTCTGGTTAAAGGTGTATTGTTATGCCATACCTAAAATTAATGATTCAGTTCGGGTACTGGTAGTCTGGTACACAACTTTGAGGCCAATCCCTCTGGTCGGATGGATGCTAACAGACTTTCCTCTGAACTTTATACAGTTGGGCAGGACAGTCGCGAGAGGATCTCAGGTGTTTTCGAGGCATACACTAGAAGAAATGGGTCAGGAACTGGCGTTCAAGCTGATCGGTCGAGTAGACCAATAACCTCAGAGAATGTTCTTGCATCTAAGGATACGGTTAGTTCATGAGAAGAGAAATTCTATTTCCTTTTTTTTTTTGTAAAGCGAAAGATCCAAAGTTCTAAACTTTCATATCATTAAAACATTTTTGGGAATCAGCAAAACCAGGAGAGGCCAATCACTTTATCTAGAAACCAGAGTTCATCAAGAAAAGCAGTTGCTGGGTCAAGTGTACGAGCCACTTCATCAGCTGACTTCACAGACAATCGAATGAGTAGACTCGTCCCAAACAATGGTCGGTCATCTACAACTCAGAGGACCCAGTTCGCTTCGTCGTCCTCCTCTTTAACCACAAAGGCTGCTCCAGCGAGAACTGCTCGTGACATTACTCTCCAGAGCCTCGAGCTCCTCAGTATTGGGAACAGCAAGAGGAAGTGACTGGCTGAATTTGCCACCCGCCGGATTCACAGTTGGCTCATATTTTTATCCATCTTTGTTTAAGAAAGTGTTGTTAAGAAAGAAATATACATGATCTATTTACAGATATGTGATATATATTTATACGTGGGTTTACTTCATAAGATCAGTGTTGTTCGTATCGTTAAATTTATATTATTCGCTTAATTTTAATATATTTTAATCATGGGTGTCTTTTAATTTTTGAAAATGTCTTCAAGTATCTACCCAAAACACTGTAATGGTGAGACGTTAATATTGACGACAAAAAAAAAAATAATAATAATAATAAGACGCTCATATTTAAATATTTAAAATTTATTATAAAAATATTTTGAAGACACTCACCATAAGATGACTAATACCCAATATGATTGTCTTAATATTTTTCATAATTAAGTTTATCAGTATTTAATGTGAGTATCTTAAACAAGGGATATAGATATCTATAGGAAGCCAAAAAAAAAATGTTGTCTGCAATATTAATTATTACTAGGTTCGGACCCGCGCTACAGCGCGGGAGAAATAATTACATATATATAACTTTTAACGGATTAGAATATGTTACATTTTAATTTTGTTACAGTGCAGTCGATTATGGTAAATCATATATTTGTATAATAAGTTTAAATAAAATAATAAAGAAGTGGAAGTATACACTTTTGACTAAAATATATATGTAATTTCGGGTAATTGTCCATAATCGAATTATATATGTTTAAGAAAATTAAAATGTACAACCATAACACAAAACAATCAATTTAAGAAAATTACCCGAAATTTGTCAACCATAACACAAAACCATCATATGCAAAACCAAATGAGAGAGACAATAATGAATCAGAACCATATGCAAAACCATTAAAATTACCCGAAATTGTCAACCATAACACAAAACCATCAATTTAAGAAAATTACCCGAAATTTGTAATTGGATCTTTTAAAGTTGGATAAATTAATGGGTTTGGATACATAAATCGGATACTTTCCAAATCTAATTTTAGGATTGTACTCAAACTTTAATTAAATTAGTTAGAGAAATATTAGTAAATCCTATAATTAGTTATGGAAATAATACAATTCTAAAATTAGATTTGTAAAATATCCGATGTATGTATCCAAACCCATTAATTTATCCAACTTTAAAAGATCCAATTACAAATTTCGGGTAATTTTCTTAAATTGACCCGACCCGAAAGCACTTTTTATACTTCTCTTTTACTAATATAGGGATTACCGTTTTCTCTTTAAAGAACTTTTAAAACGTTATTAATAGAAGTGTTCTAAAAGAGTTTGAAGCAAGTCAAATATCATTCTTGTAATAAAAAAAAATTAAATCAATTTCTTACAAAGTTATGCAGTGGCAAAACAATTATGTCTACATTTTATAATTTGTGATGATGAGGTTATATACATATAAAAGTTTGAACCAAGTCAATTTTTTCTTTCTTTTCTCAACAACCCAAACAAGCCATCGCACCAGAGAAAACGCCACTCCAACACCAGCGATTACCTCCCACGATGAATCCAGCCATAGAAAACATATTTGTCTGGTGCCACTCCAACACCAACGATTACCTCCAACGATGAATCGAGCCATAAAAAACAAATTTGGGGTAGGGCCAAAAGCTAACTTTAACCGTATTTCTAACCGTAACTGGACTCTAAACGTATAAAACGGTTAAAAAGCGTAACCGTTAACCGTACAAGTAAATTAGTTACGGTTAAGAAAAATATTAACCGTAACCGTTAATTAACCGTAACCGTACGGTTAACCGCATATTTAAATCCTTAAAATAAATTATATTATAACTGTATACAATGAAAAGACACATCAAATGTTTGGATAAAAATTTCAACTTATTAAAAACAACACAACAAGTTGAACACGTAAGTAATCAAAACATTTCATATTATACTATTTTTATTCTTATTTCCGTGTGTATTTGATGTTGAGTTTCTCAGTTTCGATCCAATACTCAGATTTAACTAATTCACTGTAAATATTTGAAATCACATATATTTTTTACTTGTAATAAATAGTATTTCATAAGATTTTATCTCCAATATTAATATTATAATAATCATCAAATAACCGTAACTGTATTTAACTGTAACTGTGATTAACCGTAACCGTATATAACCGTAACCGTCTTAAATGTATATATAATGGTTAAAGTCATGGTTAAAGAAAATTATAACCGTTAACCGGTGGTTAATTAACCATAACCGCATTAACCGTAACTATGGTCATGCCTAGGAGCAACCCTACCACAAGTCAGATGTTATCTTTGCCAATGAATAATCTCGAAACACCAACCAACCACCTACGAGAAACCCTAAAAGAGGAGTTCTCAAACTCAACTTACTCGCACTAAATATTAGAAGAAACAAAAAAGAAAAAGTGGGGCCTCTTTGACGACCAAAAAGGCTTACGGGAGAGGCAAAACCAAATTTACTAAAAGAAAAAATTTGTGTGAAAAAGAAAAGAGAGGAGGGGGATGCGCGCGTGGATCAAGCGCAGAGAAAACAGATAACCCTCACGCGCGCCTCCCTCATAAGCAAATAAATCAAAATTCAATCTCCTACATAGAAAGAAATTTTTAAATACACAAAATTGGGATATAGATAACGCGCTAAAACGTGGAAGGAAGACTATATATAATCATTTTTGTTAATATATATCGTAGTAGATAAATTATAAAACTGATTAGGAATTTCATAAAAGAAAGTTGTAATAGAGACTAACAGTGGAGCAAAAAGTTGTAAATTGTGTATTCCCCTTAAAAAATAAACCAACTTCCCATTAATATCATTCCCAAAATGAAAACAATCATTAATCTTAAATTATTAATTTGCATTTAAATCATCTTGACCTTTTAATTTTCTCCTTATAAAAATATTATGTTTGACTTCTTTATGTGATTAGATATACATATATTTATAGAAAACATTTACAGAAAAAATCCTGAACTAAATTTAGGCATGATATAAGAAATAATAAAGTAAATGCATCCATGGTATAAGATATAATAAATCCATCTTTATCAATTATCATCATCAAAATCAAAGTAAGACAAAAATTAACACATATAGAAAAATATATTTCCCCATATGGTAGTATTAACTGGCATCATCTCCTCTCCTCACCCATACAACTTGGTTTTTATATAAATAGTTAGATAGATGTGTCTTTATCCCTCATCAGTTTCTTCTCTTGCATATCTTTTCATTTATACAAAGCACCAACAAAAACCTAATCATGCTGTATTCAACACACCAAGAGTGTGGGGTTTGTAAGCGAGTCTTCGTATCGCCACAACACCTAATCTCACACATCAACGCTTTTCACTCCAACCGCCGTGTTCCTCCCACCTTCTCTTCCCCCGCCGCCGCTGCACCCACCAACTTCCGCTACCACCCGAACGTGAACCAGAACCGGAACCCTAATCCTGGTTTTCAGGGGAGGACTCATATGGATTACTACCGTAGGGGTTATCTTGATGATGAAGGGAAGTTTCATAAAGGGTTTCCACCGGCGCCGGCTATGAGTAGGAGTATGACTCCTCCGGCCAGAAAATGTAAGTATTTGATGCCGAGGACTCCTAAGATATCGAAGATGCCGAAGCTGATGGATCTTTTTCCGGAGGAGACGTCATCGGAGTGTCTCCGTACGCTGCCGCTTCTTTGCCAGCTGGAGCAACGGAGAGATCAGGAGGATACTGTAGAGACGGAGAGCAGTGGAGCCAACTCGAGTTCCATCGACTTGTCGTTAAGGCTATGAATTTTATATTATCCGGGCAAAATTAATAAAATAAAAAAGGAGAAATTTAGGATTTTATGAGAACTGTCTTATGTCTTTTGTGTTTTGTTCTTGTTTTTGTTTGTTTGTTTGTTTGTTTTAACAGTTCTTTGGACTGATTAGTGTATCATATATGTATTTGTTTTTGGATATTAATTATATTGTCTTTTCTCCATGATTATTGTGAGTTTCATAACTAAATTGAGTAAGTGCGTACTTTATTAGAATAAAGAAAATCTCAAGCGGAGATATAACTTATAAAAATCATTCAAACTAAATAGTAACATGATTTTACGTCGACATTCATTTATATTATGTTGCGTACACAATTATGAACTCCACAGTTATATATCACTAAACACAAATTCATTTTAATCATTATTTTTGAAAATTGTTTATCTAATCGTTATATATGTATTCACATATCATTTGATCACTTACAGATCATTTCTATGCTATATAAAAACTTTTTTTTTTTGGTCATTTATATAGGTATCATTAATATAATCATATATACATTGAAGTGTTAATAGTCCAAATTAATTAAAAATGTTATAAGAGATTAAAATATGAAAGCAAAAATTGAAACAGAAATAAATTAAAGATTAATTAATTTGAATAAATGACGCCATATATTATGTTCTTATAATATACATGGATACTACACTTGCTTTGATATATGACTTTTGGGAGAAGAAAAAAACAAGTGCCACCACGTCATTATAATTTTAAATGAGTCTATTAGATATCATCACATCCAAAACTTGTTAAATTTTAAATAACATGTAGTTCCGGAAAATTAAATCATTCAAGCTTTCAGATTTTTATTTATTTATTAAATTAAATCAACTTTATTATATCTTAAAAATAGATGTAAAAGTATATATCAGAAAAAGCAAAAAAAAATATGTAATACTAATCATATGAAAAAAAAAATTGAAATTTCTGAATAATGCAGCCAATTATATAGTGCCACAAATGTAAACAGAATAATAATAATAATGAGAATAATTTTTAATGATAGGACATCAAGTTTTGCCTAATGCAAAGTAGTGTTTGTTGTTAACAAGTTTTGGCAAATGCAAATAACTTTTGTGTGAGTGGTCGTGTCTCCTTCCTCATCTCGACCCGTAAAAACCTCTCCTCGACTAGTTTTATTTTGTCTTTCCTTTTTTTCTCCCATGGGGATGGGATGGGAAGGATTGAGTAAACACTACCACCAGCGAAAAATAAGTTCTATTTATAAAAGTTATATATAAACAGCAAAAATAATAACCTTGAAAAAGTTTTTTTGTTTTTTTTTTTGGTTAAATAAAATATAGTGCTCTTCTTCTTCTTCTCCTCTCAACCAAGAATTTGTCTGAAACCTGTTATCTCTCTCTCTATCTATCTGTCACATAGATAATTATTTCGAAAATGGATATCAATGCCATCGAGGTGTGAACTCTCTGACGATCTCGTTCAATTCTTTGTCTGTCTCGTTGGATAATTTTAAATGTCTTTTTTGTGTTGCTTTACAAGTTAGGGTTTTGCACATTCACAGAGTAACAGCATCTAAAGGTCTAACCAGAAACCATTCCTCCCGAGATGGCGACCGTGAAAGGCCTTCTTAAAGGCCTTCGCTACATTACTCAGATTTTCGGTTAGTCTCATAAATTCACAATAACATTTTCTTGTAATGCAAGTTACATCTCATATCGAAAAAGAAACATTTAACCGCAGACGAAGAGAAAGACAAGGACATGCAGATCGGGTTTCCTACCGATGTAAAGCATGTTGCCCACATCGGATCTGACGGTCCCGCAACCAATATGCCAAGCTGGGTATGGTTTGTACATTTCTACTTATTCTCTTACGTATAAGTATACTCATCATTGGTACGTATTAAAAAAAAAAACTGTAGATGGGTGACTTCAAACCTCAAGAGAATGAGAACGGTCAAGTAGTTTCTCGAGGAGATGCCAACAACAATCAAATAGGAGAAGGAGTTGGATTACAAGAGTTGTTGCCTCCTCCTGAGAAAGAGAAACCAAAGCATAAGAAGACGAGGCGTAAATCTGAGACGGTCTCACAAAACGGTTCTCCACCAAGGCGAAACAGCAGTGCGTCAATATCAGATATGCAACCGAAACACCCAAGACGCCACCACAGGAGTAGGCACGGGTCCATAGATTCATCGAATGATCCATCAGTTAGGAGGAGGCGTATTGTCTCTGTAACCACTGACATGGAAGGTTCTGACCCTCTGTCAGATGGTTCTGCTCCAGCTAGAAAGTCTACATCACGTCATAGGAAGCCGAAAGGATCAGGAGGAGGAGAGCTATCGATGAAGAAGACAAGAGTGAAAACCGAGAATCCTACTGTTCAATCAGTCGATAAATGTAATGATAGTATCAGCGATAAAGACTAAAAACACAGGATGGTTTTGGTCACTTATATATGTTTCGTGTGAATTGTCTAGTCTTTCTCAACTGTTCCACAGAGAAAAAATTATTTGTTTCACAAACAAAACAGTTAACCACCTAAAAAGTGATTGAACAAATCGAACAATGCCAAGAACGGGACAAAGCTCTACTATTGGTTGTATGATAAGAAAATCCATAAAAACTGCCGAGTTGAGTAGCAAAAGAAAAGGGTAATGACTGGTACCAAAAAGACGACTACACATTACATACCTCATCAGATTGAAATAACAATTTTCTACTTCTTGCGAAGATCTATGCCAGCTTTCTTGGCAACAGCATCGATCCCGTTTTTCTCAATGGTCTTCAAGGCCTTGGTTGATAAACGAAGTTTGACAAAACGTTTCCCAGCTTCCCACCATACCTTTTTGTATTGCAAGTTGACGAATTGCAACTTCTTTGTCTTGTGGTTAGAGAAAGACACTTTGTTTGCTCTGTTTGCTTTCTTCCCAGTAAAAGGGCAGATTCTTCCTGTAATGACCAAAACATGATAATTTTAGGACAAGAACAAGATGTGTTTGGTTTATCTTCTGTGTTTTTATTATTCAAGCATCAATGCATTGTTATACAGAGAAAGAGATATCACCTAAAGTGTTGTGTAGAAAATGACCAAAAGGGACAAACGAAGATATTGACTAAGCTATCTAAGCTACTGACCAAGCTATACACGTTATAGATAAATAGCAGTAGCTAAACACGTTATAGAAGTAGCAATAGCTTTAACACCCTCCCTCAAGTGGGAGCATGCACATCGAAAATGCCCAACTTGCGAAGAAAGAAACCAACTTCCTTTTGACCCAATGCTTTAGTGAGGATGTCGGCGAGCTGTAGATGAGAAGGAACATAAGTAGTAGCAACAATACCAGCCACGATAGCATCACGAATAAAATGGCAGTCCACCTCAACATGTTTGGTGCGCTCATGTTGAACCGGGTTGACACTTAGAGCAATTGCAGATTTACTATCAGAGAAGATACGCATAGGTTGAACATGAGTGACACCGAGATCATAAAGCACCCTCTTGAGCCACATGAGTTCTTGAGTGAGAAACGCCATAGCTCGATATTCAGCCTCCGCGGAAGAGCGACTAACAGTGGGCTGCTTTTTCGTTTTCCACGATATGGGAGTATCACCAAGCTGCACAAAGTATCCTGTGAGAGAACGACGAGTGAGAGGACAAGCCGCATAGTCACTATCACACCAACCATTAAGCTGAAGAGTGGAATTGCGAGAGAGCAAAATTCCTTGTCCTGGATTAGATTTTAAGTCACGACCAACTCGAACTGCAGCGTCCCAATGATCTTGACGCGGATGTTGCATGAACTGTGCTAGAGTGTGAACGGAGTAAGACAACTCAGGACGTGTGACAGCCAAGTAAATAAGCCTCCCAACAAGACGACGATACCTTGCAGGATCAGATATAAGAGGAGACTTGGACAGCGAGAGTTTATGATTTTGTTCAAGTGGGAAAGCTGATGGTTTAGCTCCAAGAAGTCCCATTTCAGAAATAATATCCAGAACATACTTCCGTTGGGACAAGTAGAATCCTTGATCATTGCGGCTTACTTCAATACCGAGAAAGTATTTGAGTAAACCAAGGTCTTTCATGTGGAAACAAGATTCCAGATATAATTTGAACTGAGCAATAGCCTCAGAACAGTTACCCGAAATGATCAAATCGTCAACATATATGAGGACATGAACATATATGCCATCATTGTTGTAGTTAAACAAAGAGTAATCAGACAATGATTGTGTGAAGCCATATTGTTTCAAGGCGGAAGAAAGCCTAGAGAACCAACATCTCGGAGCTTGTTTTAGACCGTATAAAGACTTATGAAGACGACATACCTTGGTCGGATCATCACATTTAAATCCCTGAGGCAATTTCATATACACTTCCTCCGTCAGATCACCATGTAGGAATGCGTTATGTACATCCATTTGATGTACATGCCAGTCACGAGCAGCAGCCACTCCAAGAAACACACGCACAGTACTCATTTTTGCGACCGGAGCAAAAGTCTCGTCATAGTCCACTCCTTCTTCTTGACGATTACCCAATGCCACTAAGCGAGCCTTGTATCGTTCTACCTCCCCGTCAGAGCGATACTTGATCTTGTAAACCCATTTATTACCAATGGCTCGCTTCCCTGGAGGCAAATTCACAATTGAAAAAGTTTGATTAACGCGCAGAGATTCAATCTCAGCGGACATAGCATCACGCCAAACTTTTTCAATCACAGCTCGATTGTACGTTGTTGGTTCCATACCGAGGGTAACAGCAGCGAGAAAAGCCTTGTGGGATGAGGAGAAGCGATGACAATCAACATATTGCTCAATAGGATAGAGAGAAGATGAAGATTCATCTTTGGAATCAGATTCTACCCGCACAGTATTGGTAACAAAGTTTTTTAAAATTACCGATTTTTCTTTCTTACGATGTCCACGCCCAAGTGGTGTTGGCTCCGTGATTGCATTCGGAGACGTAGATGACTCAGTCGGCAATGGAGAAATATTCATTGTCGTGGTCCCTGGTTCAACTAAAAGAGGCGGAGAAGTGACAGACTCAAGTTGTTGAGTACTTGGGCCATCACTATCAAGGACTGATGTCACGACAGAAGTTGTTGGGCCTGTTTGAGTACTGACATTTGGCCCATTTACTTCAAGAAGATCAATGACGCTCGACAAAATAGGAGATTGATTCACACAACTCAGCATAGGACCATCATCTTCTTTATACTCCTCCTTTGCATATGGAAACTCTGTTTCCTGGAAAATTACATCTCTAGAGACCAAGAATTTTTGTTCCTCTAAGTCAAATAATCTCCATCCTTTCTGGCCGTGTGGATACCCGACAAAGATACAACGCTTTGATCTGGGCTCAAATTTATCTCCTTTATGATTCTGGTTATGTGCGTAGCACAATGAGCCAAAAACACGAAGGTGAAAATAGTGGGGAGCTGTCTTGTACAACATCTCATACGGAGATTTACCTTGAAGAAGTATCGACGGTGTGCGATTGATAAGATAAGCCGCCGACAAGATGCACTCTCCCCAGAACTGAATCGGCAAATGTGACTGAAACCGCAAAGCTCTCGCAATATTTAAAATATGCCGGTGCTTCCTCTCAGCCCTTCCATTCTGATGTGGAGTCCCAACGCATGAAGTTTCATGTGTGATTCCATGTTGCAAAAAATACTCACGCATACAAACGAACTCAGTCCCATTATCACTTCTCACAGTTTTGATCTTAGTTTCAAATTGTCGTTCAACCAAGGCCAAGAAATCTTTCAAATGCTTCTGTGTCTCACCTTTTTCAGTCATCAAATATACCCACACCCCACGTGAGAAATCATCAACAATCGTCAAGAAATATCGAGCACCAGAATAAGACGGTGTGCGGTATGGTCCCCACACATCACAGTGAATAAGTTGAAAAATATCTGAACTTCTATTAGCACTGAGAGGGAATGTTTCACGAGTTTGCTTAGCTCGCATACATGTATCGCATACATTATCCAAAATATCTTTACTACTTGACAAAAGCTCTTTAGGCAGCAAGTTAACTATCTTGTTTGATGCGTGTCCCAAACGCCTATGCCAGAGATCAAAAGAGCCCTTCACACTAGTGTGCACAGCTGCTACATTCTCCATTCTCCGAAAACAAAAACTTCCATCCTCTCGTTTACCAACTCCAGTCACCATCCTCGTAGTGCGGTCCTGTATCACAAGGAAGTGATCAGCGAGTTGAACAACACAATGATTCTCATCCATCATCTGCCCAACAGAGATCAAATCTGATTGCAACTCCTTGACATAGAAAACTGATTTCAAAATCAGTTGTGAACCAAGTCTAATTGTTCCTTCACTAACAGCCACTCTCTTATTCCCATCAGCTAACACAATCAAAACTGGTGACATAGTTCTCAAATCACTCAACAATTCCAGTTTTCCAGTCATGTGGTGTGTCGCACCTGTATCAAGTATCCAAGAAGAGAAAAGAGAACATGTACCTGATAGAGTTTCATGAGCATCGGACTTGTTATCACTTCTTCCAGCATTGAGAAGCTTAACAACTCCACGCCATTGCTCATCAGTAAGCCCGCTAACCGCATCACGGTCTTGGTCAGTGATTACACGGTTCACTTGTTCAGTAGATGAGGATGGCCCGGCCATGACCGCATTCACGTACGTTGGCCGAGTTTGTCCTCCACTAAAACCAGGCCCAAATCTTCCTCTGCCACGGCCTATTGAACTGGTCGAGTTTGATTTTTCTCTTGAACGGTCTCCCCACCACTCTGGATAACCAATCAACATAAAGCAGTTCTCTGGTGAATGACCTCCTCTATTACAATGATTACAGACTTTCTTGTTTTGGGGCTTCGAGTTCACTTCAGAACGTGCTTGAACTGCAAAAGCAGAGACATCAATTCTTTCTTCTTTAGACACTCTATTATTCAACATATCTTCTTCTTGTCTCACTATGTTGTAAACCTCTTCCAGCCCCGGAAGAGGTACACGAGACGTCAAGCTTGAACGTATGGTGTGAAATTTAGTTTCATTCAGACCGTAAAGAAACTGTTGAACCATGTCATCTTCTCGGTCTTTCTCTTGTTGTGTTCCGAGATTGCAGACACATTTACCACATTTGCATATCCGAAGTGGGCGATAGCTGTTGATATTATCCCAAATCTTGTTGAGTTTTCCATAATATCCTTCCACTGTCATACCCTCCTGCTTGCAAGTAGCAAGATCTGTCTTCATCTTTTGATTCTTCGGCCCATTAGAAACAGAGAAACGCTTCCGAATCTGTTCCCACAAGTCTCTCGCCACATCACGGTGGGAGATGTTCGTTAGTAACTCTGAATTAATAGTCATCTTCATCCAAGAGACTAGTAACGCATTAATCGTCAGCCAATCTTCCAGATCTGGTGAATCATCCGGTGGCTGAGGAATAGTTCCATCGAGAAATCCAAACTTTTTCCTAGAGCGTAGCGCAGTTTTGAAACCACATGCCCACTCTTCATAGTTATTAGTCTTCAGTATAGGGTGAGAGATCACAGCTCCCGAGTTATCAGCTGCCGTTAAGTCGTACGGCGAAATCGTGCGTCGGACCTCAGTTACCTGTGTGTTCGTCGGAGTTGTAACTGGAGGTGGTTGAGTGCCAGCCGTAGATGGAGGTGTTGGAGCGTCAGCCATAACTTCAGATGAAGCTTACTTTGTGTTCAATAATTAACTCGAAAATCCCAGATTTTGCTCTGATACCATGATAATTTTAGGACAAGAACAAGATGTGTTTGGTTTATCTTCTGTGTTTTTATTATTCAAGCATCAATGCATTGTTATACAGAGAAAGAGATATCACCTAAAGTGTTGTGTAGAAAATGACCAAAAGGGACAAACGAAGATATTGACTAAGCTATCTAAGCTACTGACCAAGCTATACACGTTATAGATAAATAGCAGTAGCTAAACACGTTATAGAAGTAGCAATAGCTTTAACAAAACAGTTTTCGAAAAAATTGAAATCTTTCATAAAAATCCTTCTGCCGCATTCGCTAAACATTGAAATTCACAATCGATACGAAATTTCATTACAGGAATTGAAGCATTGATAAATTCTTCTCAATTTAAACGACAAACGGAAAGCCAAAAAAACATTTAAACTTTGACACAAATTATTGAACCCTAATAAAAAGAAGTCAGGAATGAGAATTGAGAGAAGCGTACGAGCGACGATGGGTTGGAGAGAGGGAGCGGAAGGTAAAGCTGTACGATTGATGACATCACTGTAACTATGTGAAATTCTTACGCCGCTGAGTTGAGAAGTGAGAAACCCTAGTTCGGTTGATTTCGTCACTGGTTTCGGCTGAGATACGGAAGCAATCCTCAGCCAAGGCCCTTGCGTCGCCATTGTCGCCATTTATGTTACTACTATGCTTTGTACTTTGAACTTTGTAAACAAAGATAACGCTACGGCCAACAAAAGAAGAGGACGAGACTCTCGTCAAAAGAGGTTATAATGGTTAAACGACGTCGTTCTGATTAAACTCGGGGTTATCTCCGAACCGAGTTTTTATGTCTAAACCAATAAAATCAGTTTTCACGCCGTTCTGGTTATCATACAGAACCAGGTATCTTTGGATTTTCCCATTTATCTAGTGAAGAAAACTTTGTTTTGCAACTCTTAAATCTTAAATCTCGAAACACATATACAGGTACAACAGATCACGACATAGGAAGATGACATTTCTTGTTTATGTTTTTTTTTTAAAATTACTTGTGTCATCTTCGTTTACCCAATTGGAAGGATTTTTTCAAAAAATGATTAGCGACACGGTCGTTTCTATAGCAAAGAACTCGCAAAATCGTGTTTGGATCCGACCTATTCCATCTTCCAGTTGTTGGCGGCATGGGAAGTTTTTGTCCGGTCCCGACCAATCCCATTCCGCTTGACTCGCATGTCACAATGCTAAAGTCTTCCATTAGTTGTTCTGTTGGTTGGCCCATAAGTTGAATTACTCCTTCAACTGTCTCTGCCTCTCGATCCACCACTTCTTCCGGTATAAGTCCTTCGCCGCAAGTACAATAAACCTTCTTTAAACTCTCGAAATCTTCTTCGATTAGATCGTGATCCGTCCGATAGAAAACTCGGGAATGTCCTCCTGCGAGTAGAACCGTTAGAACCACTTCGAACGAAGCCTTCATGACTTCTCTCATCGCCAATGCTTGCGCTCTGTCCGCAAGAATTGCGGTCATTAACGTTAAGTTCTGTTTCAAGATTCGCAATGCGGGTTTGATCCTCGAGTTAGCGACATCTCCGGTGTAGAGGCTTTCGTAGAAGACCGAGTATGAATCGAGGAAGATTAATCTATAGGCTGCAACCTCGGAGACATGTTGGGATGCAGATTCGATTCCCGCTTGAGTGAATTCAAAATACGAGGATGATTTGGTCCGTTCCCGGCAACGTTTTCGCGTCGCGGGGAGTACTCTCGGGTTGAGCGAAAGGGATTTGTTGAGGGAGTGAAGTTGAGAGCTTAAGAAATGTAAAGTATTAAGACGTATGTAGAGGCGCTGTGTACCGCGGCTGGTCGAAGGACGCGGGTGGTTTCCAGGTGAGGCTTCACCGAGGTGGTTAAGTTCTTCTCCCGAGGCAGTACACGGCGTGGCTTTCTTCCATAGCTTCACGAACTTTGAGTCTCGGTTACATCTTGTAAGTGGAGGAAGCGTAGGAATGTAACTCTGTTTTGAACCTGACAAAACCACCACCACTCAATCAATCACCAATGGTTTTGTTATATGTAATGACATATTTATTCTTATACTCACCGCAAGATGCTACGAATGTGGTGTATTCTTGAAAGAGTTTTTCTAATCCTTCAGCAAGATCATGAACCAAATCCTCTGTAATCCCAATCGGGATCTCAAAGAATTCGTCGATGGCATCATTAGCTAGCTTCATCAACTCTCCAGCAGATTGTGCATAAGGTTCTGATTTTGATTTCGGGTTCCATGTCTACATTAAAAAAAAAAGAAAAGAAAAAAATGATTCAAATAGATGATACGTTTGTATACTTGAACTGCAAGTAAAGCTTTAACAAACATACTTCAGCTTCCTTTGCTCTGTTCAAGCATTCTTGAACTGTCTTTAATTTCTCTTCAATCCATTGCCTTAGTAGTCGTACTATAATCGACTCAACCTCATATGGGACCATCTCTCGAACAAGCCCTTTGCCTCCATCTTCACTTTCTTCAGAATCTTCAGCCACCATCTGTACAAGAACCTTCTCAAGCTTCCCTGCCGTTAGTAGAACTTCAACTGTCTCTTTCGTAATAGTTGATCGACCAACTAAGTATTGCATCAAGATGGAACCATAACATTGATGAAGTGAAACAGAGGCGACTCCAGCTGCAACCATGTACCATCTCTTAAGTATTGGGCTAAAACACTCGCGCTCGCGCAAAGCAAGCTCCTCTGTCTCTTTAGCTAGCCGAAGCAACATAGTTGCTGCTTCTTCTCCTTCCTCTGTCACTGCGATTTCGGCCTTCACTTGTTCTATAACCTGATACAGTTTAGAATAGTAATGTTATGAGAAACACAGAAGACATAGCGACCAAAAGAAAACGAGAAAACACACTTATTTATTATCTAGTCAAAAAGTTACCTTTGAGAATGTGTTTTTAATAGATGCTCTTATATAATAATCGACCCGATCCCCTGAAGAATCCACCAATTTCACATCACCTTTCTCTTGACTATTCCCTTGAGAGATTGTCACGTCTTCCCCCATAATCTTAGAAGAAGACAAGGCTAATGGTAGAAGATTCTCGATCAATCCCACGTTCCCTCGTTGAAAATAATCATGATAGCTCAACAACCTATACATATATATAATCACACATTCGTAATCAGATTCAGTTGTTTGTAACCATGTCAATAATTCAAAGGCAAAAGGAAATACCTTTTCTCAGTCCATCCTTGCATTGAGCCTAATGTCGAAGTCAAGAGCTTCACGTAAAGAGCCTCACGATCAGACTTCTTGGCGTCATTGGCAACTTCAGCCAGCATGGCGTGAGAGGCACCAAGTAAGTCTGGCTCCATCTGGGATGTCACAATGTATTGATGGAACAAAACCCAAGTGAAACACAAGTTATGCATAGGTCGGGTAATCCCCAACATTAACCATGTCTTCTTCATCAGCTCCAAAAGCTCATCGATCTCATCAAGAACCAACGTCTCATCACGTATGTCAAAAATCGACTGCAAAAGCGCCACATAAAGGTGAATGTTAAGTGGGTATCCATCGGCCCAATGGCAAACTTCGGCGGTGGGATTAGTATTGCGCCATGATAAGGAGGCGACAACGTTACAAAGTGTTGGCATTATCTCTGAGCTTTTGCTGGTATCAATGGGTTTTGTCTCGCTCTGGCGGATAATTTCTCGGAGACGCATTGCAAAGTTGTTTGTCTTATCAAAAGGGATTGATGGATGAAGGAGAAGACCAGCTTCAAGGACTTTGAGTTGCCGTCTTTGCCAAATTTGATACTCATGTACATCACCAAACTCTGATGGTTTCACGTGACGAAGAAGCTCTAATGGAAGTATTATTGTCTCTGCTCGCCTACCCGTCTAGATAACAACAATTACAAACGTTTTTTAATTAATCATGAAACAGAGATTTCATTCATAATGGAGAAAACAGAGGAACTTACTTGGCCAACAAGCGTCCTCATTAGGGTTTTTCGAAGCCTAGTGTCACTCTGTTCTGTCACTCTCATCTGTTGCCTCATGATTTCTGCAGAGGTTAATGGTCGTCGAGGTCGAGAAGGTGGCGCCGTCAAAAAACCAGCCCCAGGGCTAATGTGTCCTAGACCACCTCCAATGCTTCCATTGTTACCAGGGGATGAAGGAGCAGACACGGCTCCCACAACTGTTCCTACTGTGGACATTCGCCTAGACGGAGATCGCTTAAGCATCTTCAACCCTAACGCTCGTTTCACCCGGCTTGTTGGTGTTGTCACAACTTCTTTCCTCCCTAAAGATCCGAAGGCAGACCCGTTAGGCGATCCAGATCCTCCTCCTACTCCATCGCCTTGATGGTCACCACCATTGTGCTTGGAGTAGAAAGTGAGAGCATTTCTACCTCCAAATCCAGGTGATGACCGACATGCCGCGAAAAATATCTCATATGCGGTTTCACGGATTTCATCCCGATCAAGACCATCAAGCTTCCCGAATGGCCAGAGAAGATCGGTATCAGGACAAACCTCAAAGTTGGCCATGTCGGAAAAAGACTCCCTCCGAGAATGATGAACCATCACGGAGGGGAAGCAAGAAGGATAAAAGAAAGACCAGACTGATTCAGGTTTTGTAAGAAATCAAATGCACAAGGAGAGAGAAAAGGAGTTCTTCGTTTTAATAATGGAAAAAATGAGAGAGACAGAAAGAACAAAAAACAGAGAGAATTGAGGAGGTGGAGAGGACAACTTGGAAAAAACCTAAACGACAGCGAAAAAATATTGTGCTTAGGAAGAGGAGAGGATGTGAGTAAAATAAGGAATACTCATGAAATTAACCGTAATTAGCAAATCTCCTATTCCAAGTAACTTCTTCAAATACAAATATGTTTATTCTCATAAGTTTTAAATACAAATTCTCTTCCAATATACAAAACTTTAAAGAAAGAAAAGAAATGAAAAAAAAAAAAAAAAAAACGAATCCAGCGTAACAATTAGTTTCAAAATTGTTACTCAACCTACACACCTTCATGTTGTTGATATATCCCCAAAAAAAAAGAAGAGATAAAATATGGTTTAATACTCAACATCCAATTATGTCTGCAACACATAATTATTTTGGTCCTTTAACTGTTAAACTAAACAGCTAAATATCATATTATCTTACGATGAACCTGTTTCGAACACCCAACCATGAAATTGTTCGGACATTATAATAATCACAGATCAATTCAGTGATTAAAAAAAAAAAAAAAAAACTTGAGAAAAATGCAAATATCACAATCATATATATTTCAGAACCATATGCTGAACCTAGATTAGCTTGCTATCCATCTAGTCCCATTCCATGGGTTTGGACCTGGACTCGGAGAAAGCTAATAAACAAATGATAAAAGATTAAACTGAGAGTTGTTGGGTCTCACAATAAGTGAAACCCTCCAAAAATAGGCGTATGCCACTTAGCGTGGAGAGCACACGGTATTCTTTAGTAAAAGGCGAAAGAATAGTTCGCATTGTGCTCACCACATGGCTGCGTGGTTTGCAACTATGGATAGTGAAGTCTATTTATATTAAAGTTTCCACTGTCCGACTCTTTCAGCTTTCCGATGTGGGACTCTCAACACTTGAAGAGAAGAGAATTCTACTGGTAAGTAAGTATACTAACATAAAACTCGTCGTGGGCTTTGATGGGCCTAAAATATATAGAACTTGGGCTCAAAGCGCAATTGTCATCTTCTTCCTCTTAAGTCGCTGTGAGTGAAAACCCTAGAAGTATGCGTCACTATATATGTCACCGGAAACCCTAAAACCATAAATCCAGATTTCTCTTCAAGCCGTCAACAATGTCGAAGCGAGGTTCGTTCTTTTTTTACTCTATTATCATTTATTAGATCTGATTTACCCTTTATGTTGCTTTAATGGATGTTGTGATTTGAATTTTTGATTAGGGCGTGGAGGTACCTCTGGTAACAAATTCAGGATGTCACTGGGTCTTCCCGTGGCTGCGACGGTCAACTGTGCCGACAACACCGGTGCAAAGAACCTTTACATCATTTCCGTGAAGGGTATCAAAGGTCGTCTGAACCGATTGCCTTCTGCTTGCGTCGGCGACATGGTGATGGCCACCGTCAAAAAGGGTAAGCCCGATCTCCGGAAAAAGGTGCTTCCTGCCGTCATCGTTAGGCAACGCAAACCATGGCGCCGAAAGGATGGTGTTTTCATGTACTTCGAAGGTTAGAATTGCTCTCTTCTCTCTAAACCCCTAATCATGTATTGGATGTTAAGATTTGTAATTTAGCACCAAGGTTAAGTCACCCTTTTTTAATGGTTTGATACAGTTACAAGCTTTGGTATTGTTTAAGTGTTTATCATTACAGATACTTTAATGCTTTTGCCCTTGAATCTGCTCCATTTGTACTCCACATTCTTAACTTTGTTATCATTAGGTTATGAATAGGTAGAAATGCTTTGTTGTGGTTATATTGTAGATATCTCCTAATTTATTGCGAATGTAGATTCAGTCATTTTCCAGAATTGTGTCATGTATGCATCGACACATACAGAGGGTGTATAAATACAAAACCAAGTCTGGTAGATGTAAATGTGTTCTATCGTTACAGATACTCTTATGCTCAAACGCTTGCATCTGCTCCATTTGAACTCTACATTCTTGTTGTTTTGAATTGCTGCTGATTGTATGATTGTATGATAACTTGTAGTCAGCTGTGTAGTATATATGTGTTTGACGTTCACCAGGCTTAAGTCATGTATCCACCGACACGTTTAGAGGGTGTTGATACGGTTACAAGTCTGGGAAACTAAAATTGTGTCCTTCGTTACAGATGCTTTATTGCTTGAACGCTTGCATCTGCTCCATATGGATTCTACATATTCCTCAATTATCATTATTTGTTTCCATTTGTAATTGTCTTTGAAAGCAAGTACTGATCTAGGTACCGTGTTCCTTTATTTCACAGATAATGCTGGAGTCATCGTCAATCCCAAGGGAGAAATGAAAGGTTCTGCAATCACTGGTCCTATTGGGAAAGAATGTGCTGATCTTTGGCCAAGGATTGCTAGTGCTGCCAATGCTATTGTCTAAACATCAGATTAGTCAATTGCTTGCATTTGATGATGATCTGTCTAGATACAAACTTGAGAATTTTTGTAGCAAAATATTTTTATTTTCTGACAATATGTATCGACATTCAAATGTTTGGTTATTTAGACATTTTTCCCAACATTTTCTAGTTTCTGGTAGTAAATTCTTAAAAATGAAAAAGCTAAACTGATATAAGGATACTGTTTATATTATAATCTTTGGTCGGTGCTTCTGGCTATGTATGAATGCCAAAGCAATTGAAAATGATTGCAACATGGATAGATTTGCTTCGAACTGAACGAAGTAGACACCTCCGCGAACATTGACCATCTGTAATCCAATTGTTTCTTGCTTTGATCCATGAAAATATTACCAAATTAGTTTTTTTTTTTTTGTTACGGGTTGAAAGTATTACAATCGAAGCTTTAAAAACGATTTAACGTTACCTCTATGAAAAGCTCGAATTGGTCTTTCCGTGGTTGGCAATTAAGATGTGTTAAGGAACAACCTAAGTCCCATCCTCCACAGTCACAGTTTCCTTGAGATTTCCATCTCTCTATCAAACTCAAAGGTCCATCTTCAGGTCCTCCATGTATACCTGAAGGAATTACAACATCCATACTTGTGACAGATGATGAAGTTTCAGTCTCAATGGCATCATTAGATTGGACTAACGGCGATTTCTTCAAGAAGTTCAATCCCCAACCTCCACTTTCTTCTCTGACTCTCTCTTGTTTCACAACAACAGCTAATGTTTCAAGATTTGCTGGAAGGTTGTTTTCGAAAAGATTAACTTGCTCAACATCAAAGCTAGGTTCTTCTTCGAATGGCTGGTCCCAAGAACACAAATCAGGTATAAAGCTTGTTCTGCTCAATCTTGAGATACCTCTAATTTTCTTGTTGACATTAGGCAATCCTCTGTTTTCCCCCCTACTAAGTATCTGATCATTGCTACTAAACAAAACAAACTCTCTCTCTATGCCTCTCTCTGAAGACAAAGTGGATACTTTAATTCTACCAACTAGATTTGGTGAGGATGATGACACTCCTCTTTGGAGATAGATCATATAAACACTTAGGTCTTCCACATAGTTTGCCACATAAACATCTTTCTGATTCTCCAAATTGAAAACAAAATGAGGCGTACCATTGGCTCCCATAGTGAACTGAAGGTTTCCCTGAGAGTAGTTTGACAAGAACGACGCTTTGCTTGATAAGGGGATGATTACCTTTTTATGCAACTTCTCGGATTCAGCCTCGTAGTTTTCTCCAACTTTGCTTGAAAAATGACTTGGAGAAGTAGAGACGACCTCACATGATACTTTGGGACTGCCTCTAACAATCTGTAACCATTTGCCGCTGCATAAAAGCGAGAAACGTTGTGCATCTTTCTGTCTAAACAACTTCCTTGATGCATTCACATCACTGCTCACATTCATCAGTGAATTGCTTTGAGCATCACCCACCATCTCTGTCGTCGAATCCGAGATCCAACACGAGAGGAATGCCTAATCACGAGTTTTGAAGCTGCACAAATATTTGAAAGACAAACATTATGTATACAAACCTATGTCTTTATAAAGTGCATAAAAAACAAAGATTTGGACAGTAGAAACAACTTTTCTTGTGCATGGCCAGATTCTTATCCAAATTAGTATATTACATTTTCAAAACCAAATGCATCCAAGATTGGAGACAAATTTCCAACACACAAAAAAAAATAGAAATAAAAGATTCTCAGTTTCATGCAATAATAAAAATTTGATACATCTTCAAGCTCAAATGGCTATAAAAAATATTTCATTTCAATGCTTTTTTTTTGTACCTGGATTAATGTTGGATTCTCCTCGTGGGTTGTTTGGCTTATTGCTCTCTGTTTCGTCGGTCTGTCTCACGAAAGATAAAAGCATAAACAAGTATCGCTCTTCTCTTAAGGAACCAAAATGAGTAACAAGAAAGTGGGCAAAGCTTGGAAGCAACAGATATGAAGAGAATGATGATGATGATGATCAAAGTAATGTGTGTATTGTACAAAAACCTAACGCGTTGTATCCACTTTTTATATCATATTTTTTATTTTATTTTTTCCAATCTTCCTTCCTTCCACTTAAGTCTTGTTTTCACAACTTTTGGTTAATTGGCTTTTAGTGGGAGGTGCGTGTGTGTGTGTGTTCGGTGGCTTTAAACAACACACTCTCATGTCACTATCTCTCTTAACTTCTATATAATTATTTTAATTTTGACCGCAGTTTTTGCATTATTTCAAGGTGCCGTCAACATGTTTTATATATATTGTGGAGTAATTATTATTATCATTTATATAAATGAAGTAAATTGTATGATTGGTGGTCGTCTCAAAAGAAAGAGAAAAAAAAAGCCGTAATAAAAAATTATACGATTGGTGGGAAATAATGTAATATCATGTTAATTAAACGTTGTAACTACTGAAGGACTTGCTTATAAAAAATAAACAACATTCTTGTCAATCTGATTCGTTCTTCGATATTTTTTAGTCATTCTATTTTGTTACTCGTAATATTGCGATGTTTCAGTTGTCATAGTTTTTATATATGTATATACTCAAGTTTTTAAGTGTCCATGCATTGAGATTAAGTAAAAACATTATAACAAAAAGGAGGGTCGATGCATGAGATTAGAATGATAACTATCAAATTGGTAAACTAAGTTATCTAATTTCTAACTAATTACTTGTTCTGCTAGTTATAGAAGCAAGATGATTTTTATCTACTAAAATTGTACATTTAGCTTAAATGGGGGGTTCAAGACCACATCACAAAGGTGTAAAACATGTCTACTTGAATCAAAGATTAGTGGTACATAGGTACCGAGTATTAATCGTCGTAATATATTTATTAAACCCCGAGAGAAAGAGGTTTTCAGACTGTAACGTGGAAAACTTAAAAGCTACTCGTTGTACATCATCTAAATTGTTTTGCATGTACCTTATGCTATTTTATATGAGTTTATACATTTTCTGTTTCCAAACTAGTAATATATTGTTTCTAGTTCAGTCCGAATTTCTTTTTTTATGATAGGTTGTTAATTATTATCAACATCATTTTTCTGTTACGAGTTTATTGTCAACACTTTTTTGTTTGTTGACAAAAGTAACAATATACATATAAAGAGCATCAAAAGTATAGGAACATCTAACATGGCGTACGTTTAGGGATGGGTCATGGTCAACCACATACATTAATTCTTTTATATAGAACTTCTCGAATAAATCATACCTTTCAGTTTATAATTTTCCTGTAATAACTAAAAATTATCATTAAAAAAAAAAACTAAATAATTATCTACATTTGATATTTTCAAATTTTCATATAATATAACAGATCAGTCAAATATATCCAAAAGTGAATCGTAAACCGTTTAATAATAGTTACAAAGAAAAACGGAAGAAAAAAAAAAACTTAAGTTGTCATTTTTGAGTCCAAGAATTCTAATAAATTAAAACTCTAAAACGTCTGACGACGAAATTAGGAATCTATAAACCTACCAACAAAAAATGACAAAAGTATTATTGTCGTTGGACCTTTGGGCGTGAAATTGGATCGAGGCACTCTTGCTCGACCTTTTTGTTGCTTCCAAAAATACTTTAAAATCCAAAATGCATTATTATCTATTATTATGTATTGCAAAGCAGCACACTAACACCATCCTCAATCCAAAAATCTTAGGAAATATTTTTCCTTAAGTTACAAATTAAAGATATATCTTATATAAAGATCATTTTTCGCAAATTTTAGGGGGTTGTAACGAGGATGCCCTAAGAAATACATCACAATTGTGAAATCTTAAGTAACATTTTCATCTAGAAAGTGTATCGGTAAGTTAAGAGAAATTAATGATGAAAGAAAATAGAAACAGCTATACAGTAAATAATTTTCAATGATTATTTGTTATTTATACAACACCCATCAAATACAATAGACATCATAAATAATATCATACCAAATTATGTATATAGTATATCTACAAAATTTTGTAATGTTCTATGTTAACATAAACAAACCCTCTCTCCCTCTCTACGATTTTTTATTTATTTATTCATAATTACCTGCCTAAACCCATTATTAATTCATCTCTCTTTTTCCTTATGTTCTAATTATTCGACAAACCATGAGTCATGGACAAAAAATAAATGTACTAACACCATCCTCAATGCAAAAATCTTAGGAAATATTTTTCCTTAAGTTACAAATTAAAGATATATCTTATATAAAGATCATTTTTCGCAAATTTTAGGGGTTGTAACGAGGATGCCCTAAGAAATATATCACAATTGTGAAATCTTAAGCAACATTTTCATCTAGAAAGTGTATCGGTAAGTTAAGAGAAATTAATGATGAAAGAAAATAGAAACAGCTATACAGTAAATAATTTTCAATGATTATTTGTTATTTATACAACACCCATCAAATACAATAGACATCATAAATAGTATCATACCAAATTATATATATAGTATATCTACAAAATTTTGTATTGTTCTATGTTAACATAAACAAACCCTCCTCCCTCTCTACGATTTTTTATTTATTTATTCATAATTACCTGCCTAAACCCATTATTAATTCATCTCTCTTTTTCTTTATGTTCTAATTATTCGACAAACCATGAGTCACGGACACAAAAAATGTACTAATAAATATACAATAAGACCTCTATAAAATACTATGTTGTTTTTTCTTTCTTTGCAACTTACAAGACTATGCATGAAATGTGATTTTAGTACTTCAAATCAAATCCAAGACTGGATTGGATAACTGCACTTGAAAGAGTTCACACCACTTATGTGTGAAAATATGTCCGAAGAATCAACTAGCTGTTCTTCTTCCTTTACCCCCACCTGCATACCGAACCCCGGTTTAAAACGGTTTTCAAGACTAAACAAGAAGCTATAGGTTCTTAAGATTCTAACCGGAGTAATATTTAATTCTTACATCATCATCGTCTTCATCTGGATGGCTTGAACAAGCTTGTCTATTTGGTTCACCAAATTCATCATTTTTTGCGAATCTTCCTCTAACTCTTGGACGACTATCTGCCAATGTCTTCCTACATGCATACTACAAACCGAAATAGAACCAAAATTCTTTCAAATAGATCGGTATATGTATAACCAATGGTTTAATCCGGTTATGATGGTTAAGGACAAAGACCTTGATTTTCTTGCTGAAGTTTCTCTCGTTTCTCTTCTTCATGTACCTATGAATCTTTTCTTTCCTCTGCTCCGCGGAGAGTTTTCCCACTTTATTGAAATTTGGATCGTCTAAACCGGCTATTTCCGTCCCTAACTGCGGAAGAACCGGTGGTGCCGCCATGTGGTTCTGGTTCTCGTTACCCTCAAGACCCTATTCAAAAACAAAACCCCATAACCGGTTATAATCAGATCGGTTTTACTAAACCGATTTCAGTTCATAACATGTTTGCCAGTAACAATACCTTTTAACTTAGTTATATATAGATCAGGAACTTCACAAGATTAAGAAACAAAAGAGTTAGACATGGGAATTTTATAAACAACGTTTTGAAATATATACCTGGAGAGGATGATCTCCTGGATTGAAGATGGGTTTGATAGGATCTGGACAGAACAGTCCACCATTATCAGCCTGTATCTCCATCAATTGGTCATGTGATGGTTTGAAATCAGAACCAAAATGGATACTTCCAGAGTAAAATCCAGATCCTAAGCCAGTCACAGTGTTCATCATATTCCCGGTTACAGACATGTAAGCTGGTAAACCGGAATTACCCAAGAAAGAGCAAGTAGGTGAAGAAGGGTTTATGGAGCCAAGGTTGTAACTTGGGACAGAAGAAAGACAATCTTCTTCGAAAGCTGATAAAGGCGGAGGTAGAAGTTCGCCGGAGGAGGAAGAGTAGAGAGTACTCGGAGGCTGGTGAAGTTGAATTCCGGTGAAATCAAACTGCTCCTGGAGTTGATCGGAGGCAGGGAACTGGATCGATGAAGAGAAGTCGATGGAAGCTGTAATATCGTTATCGAAATCGTCTTGCGAGTCAAATATGATCGATAAATCCGCGTTGTCGTTGTTGTCTTCATGATCTTGATTCGAACCACTGTTGGATTTGTCCGGATAGTTGTTGCTGTTGTTTTCGGCGTAGCCACAACCGTTTGAAGCAGAGGTCACTTCAGAAGTTTGGTTGAAAGCTTCTTGAAATAATTGTGTGTCGCAAAAATCGAAGATTTGTGCGGTGAGAGGGCTTGTGATCTCATCCTACAAGATAACAACAACAGTATAAGATCGAATTCGCTGGAAATAAAGACAAGTAAAGCAATTTGATACTTCTTGGACATACGTTGAAGGCTTGCATAAAAACCTATTTGGTGTGCTTTTCTTGCGAAACAAGAAACAACAGTAACTCAGATAACCCTAAAGGTTAATTAGTGTTAAGTTAATACAGTACTCGTTTAAAGATAACTACACATTTATACTACCAGATCTTGTTCGTTCTATGTGGTTTCTATTAAGAGAGAATCTAGGGAAGAAATTAACGATAAGGAGGGAGAGTTTCCATAAGAGGAAAGTTTTTGGATTCTAGTATTTCTTTAGAACCAAAACATTGCTTAATTAGAACCAACATCTGATTTCTTTAACAGCAACAAATAAAGGCCCAGATAAGAGTAAGAATCATTTATTTTTACACTAATTAATTAATTCAAATAAAACTCATGTGGTTTTATATGTTAAAATATAAATAGAGACATATACAGTATATATGTAATAAATAATTAGTTATAATTCATATTATAATTACTTTTTAATCATATTATTGTAATTATAATTATAGTTATAATTATAATTACTTGAATTACTAAAAAGGAGATGTAGCATCTAATGAATTCTGATAAAATATTCTAGTCTATCTATGTCTTGTGACGATTTCTGGTTGGCTAGCTAGAAGGTACAATGAACACCGTACAAAAGAGTTAGAACTAAAAATTTGCTTTACAAATGATCGTTTCAGAATTTTGGAAGATGAACTGAATTGTAAAAGAACCAGAAACAGAAAATAAAGTGAAAGGAATGAAGCAATTTTGACAAAAGATCGATAGTACCGAATAAATTAAGAAAACGATGTTACTTACAAAAACATTGATTTTATAAAATGATGTTATGCCATTGGAAAACGTCGTTCGTATATAATTAAACTCGACTTTTATTTGTATAATTGAGTTTTTATAAATTTTTAAATACAAATGCATGCAAAGTTTTCAGAGACCATTGAAAAAGATTCATCAAGAACAAACAATTAGCAACGCAAGAGTTATATATTTATTCACATAATGGAGAAAGGAATCAATTACGCACCATGGAGAGCTGCTCGTGAGACGAAATTACGTCCTGCGACATGTTTATGTTCTTTAATTTATGGTCTCCAACGCGAAAATTAATGTGTTCCTGGAAAATATCAAAAGAAAGAATTCCCCAGGACGAGAGAGACTTCTTGAATGTGGTATTGAATTTGGAGAGTGATGGTCTGAACAAGAAATTCTACAGAATTAAAATACTATAGAACAAAAAAAAGAGATAACGATTATAATTAATCAAACAGAACACAAAGAAGTTTCTGTTTAAGACAGAGAAGAAACAAAAAAGAGATTTTCTTACAGCTTTCTTCTGGAGAAAACTTAATTAGAATAGAAGAGGTTATTATTATTATGGGAAGTTGTCGTAACCAATTTATTTATATACTTTTTTGGTTAAATGTGTATCTATCTATTATGTATATGTAATAAAAAGGTTGAAAATGCCAGCGTGGCGGTTGACGTTAAACGCGCTGGTCCTAGAGTTTCTTATTCTCGTGACGTGGCCTTTAACGATTGGAAGAAACGTGTGAAATTTGAGTTGACGTGGAGAAATTGGTCCACACACCAAACCTAAAGTGATGACTCGGTTGACCGGTAAAAAGGAGTTTGACCCAATTTCTTTTTTGTCTCGTGCGATGATTTTTTTTTGACTGAAAACTTGTTGTACTAAATTAAGCCTTTCTATTTATAGATTTTTGCTTTTCTATTTTATTTTTAGCTGTATTATTCTTTTCATTTTCTATTTATTTACTTGGCTGTTTTTTTTTTTAATGTTGGTAAGAAAGTGGAAAAAAGAAAGACCCGGTCAGTGAAAAATTGGGAAAAAACAAGAGATAAAAATCGTATAAAGTCAAATTTATTTATTTGGTGAAAATTTCGAGGGGAAAATATTTATAATTGTTACGTGATGCTGAATTAGTTAAATTCGAATACAACCAACTTTCATATGAAAATGGTTTCCTCTGGATAAAAATTCCGTGACAGTGATAGTTTATAGCATACCACTATGCTTCGAGTTGTCGTTTGCTTATATTGTTGTTCCTCTTACAACAATAACCAAATTAATTAACTCATGATTATATATACTAAATGAAAATATACGTTTATTATAGATCGGAACATAATGTATATATAGATATATATAATGTTCAAATGATGAAAAAATTGTCAACTAGGTGGGTGGTAATATATAATCTATCGTTCATGGACTAACACTCAGTCAAAAAAACTTCAAAGTTCAAAATATCCCCTCACTTTAAAAAAAAAAAAAAAACTTAAAACTTTCATAGACTATAATTGATCGATTACGGCGATTTTCTTTGGGTTATCATCTAGCTGTTTTATTTTATTTGTTTTGGTCATGGTTGGGGTTGGGACATCGCTTGTCAACATTCTATTTGGTCCCCAACTCTGTGAAGCATTTGAAAATCATTGGCCTGAGTATCTAAGTTTTCTTTTTCCTGATATTTATCCAAATTCGATTCCACCAAAATTTGTTAAAATAATATTAATATATAGATATACTACTATCTACCACATATAAAATAGATATCACCATCACTAGCTCGGTTTTCATTTTTTTTTCGTTTAATTTGTTATATCTGTTATAAAATAAACATGATCATATATACGATTCAAGATTTGAAAATCAATGAGGTTGCAAGAAATAATTGAATGAGAAAAGAATTGATTATCAAGAGAAAGGAAAAACATAGCAACTTGTTGGTAAAAAGGAAAAAGAAACAGCTTGAGATCAAAGCTGATTTGATGAATCGATACCTTTTAGATATGAACGAGCATCTTGGGCCAAAAGAGCTTTGAGTGCAGTGTTGCACACGCATTGTCCAGAAAGAGAGAGAGCAGGTATAAGAGAAATTAAAAGTTGCACTACTGTATTATGGTTTTAGTTATACTTGTGTTTGGATGGATCCGATCGAGTTTTGAATAGGGCCAACATTTATATTCGAAAAGCAAATTCTATTAATTTTATGGAAAGATAAATAACATATTTATTGTACGTGCAAATACAATGATCCGTACCGCGTCGTCCCTCTACAAAAAACATAGCACTTTCCAACCACGGATACAATCAGACAATCGTTGGAAATAAACTTTTCCGACTAACCGTTTTCTCGCATGAAAATAGGATTTTCGACGACATTTTCCTACGATTTTTCAACCAACTTGTTTTGTCGAAAATGTGTAAATATTTCCGACTAATTTCCGACAAAGATTTTGTCCCTCGAAATTTAGTCGGAAATTTGTCGATATTTTTCCGACCACTATTTTCGTCGGAAAAGGTGGTAAGAAATTGAGTTGTTTTCTTGTAACCTTATTCTTTTTTTTTTTTATATCAAGTTCTACCTTCTTCTTTGATAGAATTTGTAAACAGGAGAAGAAAAGAATGACACCGAAAGAGGTATTAAACCACAATGGGCGTGTTCGTTTGGTCACCGCAGGCGGCTGCGGCGGCGGCAGCGGCAGCGGTAGCGGTGCGGCAGACGCAATGCTTTTGATCGCTGAATCAAATTGACGTTCAAAATTATTAACCTGCGTTCGCCGCTGCGGCAACTTGCGGCGACCAAACGAACAACAAGACCTGCGTTCGCCGCAGCCGCAGGTACCTGCGGCGACCAAACGAACAGCCTCATCGATATTCATTAATACATGCAACTTCTTTTTGTAATAATTTGCAATGAGTTCGTCCGGTGGAGTACATGATGTACTGTACATCCAATGTCAGTTTTCCCACGATTTCCCTGCAAATCCAAAAGTTAATCCTTTACACAAATACAGAGCAACACTATTATTTCTCATAAGACCTAAAAAGGAATAAGACCTAGTTAGGGTTATAAAATCTTTCAAGCCACGAAACCTAACCTAAGCTAGCAAAAGAGCGCTATGATATCGATTACGAAGGGTTTACAGAATTATCCCAGAGTGAAACTGGATGACAGAACAGAGGAGTCTCGAGCTTCCGCTTCGGCGGTGCGTTGGATTGGACCTGATTGTGATCAGCGGATCAATTATCAATATTTTCACCTTGCACCATTGTAGGAGTGACTGCGAGGGTGGAGAAACGACAGGATTTTCGAGCTTCCACCCAATCTTGGTCGGAGCAAAGACCACAGAGTGTCAGATCGAGTTCATCTTTCCTATTTCGGACCAAACTCTTTTCGTTTTCGAGAGAATGAATGCCTATATGTGCGTGATTGGACTCTGTAATGAACTGTATGGAACGTTTACTAATGGGCTTCATAAAAAAGCCCAATTACCCATAAATCATGTTAAATGTAAAAGGCCCAATTTTAATAGCAAGAAAATCTAATTTATGTCGTCAGCTTAACCAATTTTTGCTTCTCTCTCTATCTCCGTCTTCATCCACTTCCCGGCTTCAGCGATTTTGTTTAGTAGCGCCGGACCAGAGTAGTTAAACCCTAACCCAGCCTCCAAGGGATTCACCGACTAGTCTTCTAGTGCTGCCCATACTACTTCTTCTTCGTTTTCTACTTAGAAGATGAATTGTGCAAGTAAGTCACTCCTTCTCTATTTGCCGATTTAGGGTTTTATTTTGCGTGGTCTCTGTTGGTTACACTGTGAGTCTTTTATTCCGTACAGTTTCCGGCGAAGTTCCGGAGGAGCCTGTGATTTCAGTAAAGTCGGGGCTCCTCTACGAGAAGCGGCTAATCGAGAGGCATATATCGGTAAGTTAGCTCTTTGCTTTTCTTCGTTCCTTCAACTCCGATTTAGGGTTTTCAGCTGTTCATCCTTTTGTACCTCTGTGTTTTCTTCAGATATTCTGTTAGTGTAGAAGTTCAAATTTTTTGGGTGGCGTATATTAGCTGGAACTAGTGCAATTATCCACTATTTCCAAAATTTTGCCAGATTTGCCAATGCATCTTGTTTTATGCTCTTGTGGGAACTAGTAATTAGTAAGATCTTTTTGACGTGATGCATAATGGTTAAAAAATTGATAATGTATTTCCGATTTCAAAGTTAAGAAATTTCTTGTGTATGCGTCCGTGATAATTTATAGATTGTTTCTGGTAACTTGTAGGATTATGGGAAATGCCCGGTTACTGGTGAACCACATACCCTTGATGACATTGTTCACATCAAAACTGGCAAGGTAATGCAGCCGATGGAATTTTATGTCACAGAGAACTGTTTGTAGAAACCTATTAAAGCCTGATTCGCTCTCCGGGACCATTTTGCAGATCGTCAAACCAAAACCGTTACACACCGCCAGCATCCCTGGATTGCTTGGAACATTCCAGACTGTAAGTTCTTATCTTGTTTCCCCTACACCTTGTCTTTCCGTTTTGTACCTGCTTTTCTCGTTGGAAGGAAGATCCACTCTGAAAATTCCCCTCTGTCTATTAAGAATCACACATAGTTATATAGATCTATGAACTTGATTATGGTCTACATGTCTATTTGACCATATCAGATTGCAATCTATTCTTTAAAATGAATTATATGTTCATTTGTTATTGATAGGCTGATAGGACGAGAAAAATGTTCATCGGTTCTGTTGACTTAGGCAAAACAAATGCGTAAAAAGTTTATCCATTTGTTTTGCTTGTAGGAATGGGATAGTTTGATGCTATCAAATTTTGCATTGGAACAACAATTGCATACTGCGAGGCAAGAGCTAAGTCATGCCTTGTATCAGGTAATTGAGGTTTATTTTATCAGCCACTACCTTATTCTTATTATTATTTTTTTTGTCGGCAGCCACTACCTTATTAGACTACATGAATTGCAAATATCTATCACGTATTCCATTTTTCTTTTCCTGGATGTTTCCGATTTTTGCTAGTGATAAAGGTGATTGATGGATATTTTGGGGGTACACTTTTCCTCCTGTTTACAGCACGATGCTGCCTGCCGTGTGATTGCTAGGCTTAAAAAAGAAAGAGACGAATCACGACAATTGCTAGCTGACGCTGAAAGGCAGTTACCTGCAGTCCCAGAAGTTTCCACAGGGAATGCTGCTCTTAGTAATGGCAAAAGAGGTATGCTTGCACATTTGCTTCTCAAAGTAAGTTGGCTGTGTGGTCATATTTCTTGACAAATTTGTTTTATTGTTGCTATATAGCTATCGATGATGGTGAACAGGGGCCTGATGCAAAGAAAATGCGTCTTGGAATTTCGGCTGAAGTTATCACAGAAATGACAGATTGTAATGCCGCTCTTTCTCAGCAACGTAAAAAGAGACAGGTAACGCATACAGCTGCACATCTATCAGTATATTAGTTGGATAATAGAAGGCAACATGCTAGCTATACACATTTATTATTGTCTGTACATACAAGGATACCCATAGTTTTGGAGTTTAATTGGATTTTCATGTGGTTCTTCTGTCTTAATAATATCTTCTCATTGGTTTGTTAGATCCCTAAAACATTGGCTTCAATTGATGCTCTGGAGAAGTTCACCCAACTCTCAAGCCACCCACTTCACAAGACCAACAAACCTGGTATTTTTTCAATGGACATCCTACATTCCAAGGTTTGACATCTTGTACCTCTCACATTTCTGTCCATCACTTTATTTAATTTTTCTCTGTTCTGGGAAGTCACTGCATTGAATGTCATAGTGGCATGCTTACTTGTACGCTTACATTAATTTTTACACTGCCATGAGTCCCCAGTTGGATGCTTATTAATGTTATTCTTGGGGAAAGAAAAATCTAGCGTAAAAAGTATACTAGTATTGCCTATATTAATTCATACCAAACAGTGCTTTTCGTACTAATTCGTTTCATTTGTTTATTCTTCAATACCTTTTATAATCAAGGTTCCTGTTTTTGTTCTCTGTGATGATGTTATTCTTAATTTCCTTTTATGTGGTAATTAGGATATCATTGCTACTGGAGGAATTGATACAACTGCCGTTCTCTTTGATCGTCCTTCTGGACAAATCTTATCAACACTGACTGGTCATTCAAAGAAGGTCTTTCTTTTGCTGTAGTCTTTTTTTCTTATAGCTTTTCCCTTGTAGGTTTGTGATTGACATGCATTGTTACTTCTGCAGGTTACAAGCATTAAATTTGTTGGTGACGCTGATCTTGTGTTGACTGCTTCATCGGACAAAGTAAGTCACGATTATGCGTACCAGCTCTTCTGGTTCTATATTATTATGTGTAGTACTTGTACATCATCTATGTAGGAGTTTCTCTTATGCTTTGAGTATATCATGATTTTAATTAGTACTAGGAGATTAACTTGTACAGCAGCAAATCAGTTGACCTACATGAGGGATTAATTAGTTTGGTGATTTGACACTCTGCAGACAGTCCGTATCTGGGGAAGTTCTGAGGATGGGAATTATGCATGTAGACATACATTGAAAGATCACTCTGCAGAGGTAAGGATGTAATTGAAGAACTTCTACAGGCTACAGTCTTACACAGTTTTTTCCTAAAATTCATATTTGTTCTGTTTAACGTAAAAGAACGACTGACGTGGTTTTCAGGTGCGAGCTGTAACTGTCCATGCAACGAATAAATATTTTGTGTCGGCGTCTCTTGATAGTACATGGTGCTTCTATGATCTGTCCTCCGGTTTATGCCTTGCTCAGGTTCCCCAACATTTACTAGTTAAAATGAATATTTCTTCCATACGTCTTTCTCATCATTGCTGCTGTTATTCAGGTGACGGATGGTACCGAAGAGGTGGATTACACAGCTGCTGCTTTTCATCCTGATGGTCTCATTCTTGGAACTGGTACCGCCCAATCTATTGTTAAGATTTGGGATGTAAAAAGTCAGGTAAGATCTCTTTGACCTTGATCATCAAACTGTTGTCACATACTCACATGTAAGTTTGTTTTTCACTTCACTTTCATCTTATGTCTGTCTTTTGATAGGCAAACGTGGCAAAGTTTGGTGGACACACCGGAGAAATCACCTCTGTATCATTCTCTGAAAACGGTTATTTCCTTGCGGTGGGTACTTTGACCTAAACTAAGAAGAAAGAAGGATATTACCAGTTTCCTTTTGACTGACCAATATTTATTATTCTTCAATCTTTATAGACTGCTGCCCTGGATGGTGTTAGGTTGTGGGACTTGCGCAAGTTAAAGAACTTCCGAACATTTGACTTTCCAAATGCAAACTCGGGTATTCAACTACCTGAGCACTCTTAGTAGTCTATTTTGTTGATTGGGTTTTTCATTTATTAAGACCTGAATAAATTTTTGTGTGCAGTGGAGTTCGACCATAGTGGATCTTATCTTGGCATTGCTGCTTCAGATATAAGGTGAGGTTTACTTTGGGACACACAATGTAAAGAACTTATATAATTAGGGGTTAGCTTTGATAACGAGATATTCAAATATAGTTGTGCAAACTTTAAGAACCTGCTATTTCCAGAAATGCACTTTGGAATTTGGATTTATGGATATGTTTTTTTTTTCAAGATCATCTAATAAAAAACTTGTATGTTGTTGTAGAGTATTCCAAACAGCTAGTGTAAAAGCAGAATGGAACCCAATCAAGACTCTTCCTGATCTGTCCGGTACAGGTAAATGCTATATGATTAAGCTTTTGAAGTCACTGCTCATCCTTTTTTTTGGAGTCTATTATGCAGACATTGTAAATCCATGAATTTGCAGGTAGAGCAACATGCGTTAAGTTTGGACCCGACTCCAAATACATAGCAGTCGGTTCAATGGATCGTAATCTCAGGATATTTGGTTTACCTGAAGATGACAATACCGAAGATTCTGCACAAGATTCATGAAGTGATCTCCAGTCCCATCATAAGAGTTAGCTAAATCCTCAATCTCCCGATTTTTGTTGTATCTTTACAGTTCTGTTTGGTATTATTTTGATGGCCCTTTCACAATCGCATACACACCTGAGCTCTTTCTTTCTCTCTCAATCTACGACATTCAAGTCCTAAGGAACCTGTAACATCATCGTACCTCAAGTATCTGCAGTTCAGTTCACCTTTCTTTCTTTAATCTAAATTGAGTCCAAATGAAGCATTTCATGTTTCAGAGAAACATCTGTAGATGAATGATATATATCCTCAGCTAATCTGTTGGACCTGAATGGCAAGAATTTAAATTTTAACACTTGTGTGATATAGCAAGTTATCAAGTAAGTAGTTTCTATTTTAGGGCAAGGGTCGTGAGTCTTAAGAGTATAGACAATGAAATGAAGACAAAAGAAAGTGATGGTCATAGAAATTAGAAAACCCTGAGATAGGCAGAGATTTTGACTGTACTCTGGTCAAAAAACACACTTCACAATCTTCCCATTCCCCCACCAATCTTAGAGATTCCTTTTCACTTCCTCCAACTCTTTATCTCTCTGGCCTTTTTTAGTTTTTCCATTTATAGCCTATTTTTTCTAATTCTGTTATCTGTAAACATGTTTTGGTATCAGCTATGAAGTGAAGGAAGTTTGTATCTACCTGATCTCCTAAGTAACCAACCACTAAACCAGACTGTGTTGAAATGACTTTAGATTAGATTAGAGACAAAACTTACTTTGAATTAGATTCAAAGGCCACAAGTTGGTGGTAAAAAGGAGGCTAACTAATAAACAGACTCTTATTTAAAAGCTCTCAATTATTTATTTTATATTGCTGCAGTAAATCAAACATTGTACAGTTTCAGAACTGAATGGCTCAGAAGCGTTAAAAGGAAATGAGACTCTCTCTCTCTCTCTCTCACTTCTTCTAATCTCTTCTCACATGTCTTAGAGAGAGAAAGAGTGGTCATCCAAAGCCAAAGCCAAAAAAAAACAAGAACCCAGAAACCTAGAAGACAGAAACAAAAAAAATTAAGCTTTACTGAGCCACCAAGCAACCAATTACATAAACTCAAAAAACCCATAACCCAAAAATCTAAAAAGTCCCACAAAGATTCGATCTTTCAATATCTGTACAATGAGAAAGCCATTGGTTTGATATTTCCAACAATCTTTCTTCCAAGAAACCCCAAAGTTAACAAAGAAAGAAAGAAAGAAAGAAAGAGACCACAAACAAAGCAAAAGAGTCCACACACAACAAATGGGTCTTTCAATCTCTTTCATCAGCATCATCTTGATGATGTGTCTACTGTATCCAGATCTCAGTGTCGTCGTAGTAGAGTCTGCAACAACGGAATACACAACCTTAATCTACAAAGGATGTGCAAAACAGCAATTCTCAGATCCAACTGGTTTATACTCACAAGCACTCTCAGCTATGTTCGGGTCACTGGTATCTCAGTCAACTAAAACAAGATTCTACAAGACCACAACAGGAACAAGCACAACCACAATCACTGGTCTGTTCCAGTGTAGAGGAGATTTAAGCAACCATGACTGTTACAACTGTGTGAGTCGTCTTCCTGTTCTCTCCGATAAGCTCTGTGGCAAAACCATTGCCTCAAGAGTTCAGCTCTCCGGCTGTTATCTTCTCTATGAAGTCGCTGGCTTTTCTCAAATTTCAGGTAACCCCTTTGGCTTCAGATTTTTTTCCGGTTTGGTTAGAATCGAAGTGGTGTGAATTAGGGGAGTATTCAACAAAGGTTATGTCTTTAAACCAATTTAGACCGACGGTTTGGTTTCTCAGAAGTTTCCCGGTATAATTGATATGGCAGGGATGGAGATGCTGTTCAAGACTTGTGGGAAGAGCAACATCGCCGGAACAGGGTTCGAAGAGAGAAGAGACACGGCGTTCGGGGTGATGCAAAACGGCGTGGTGTCAGGGCACGGGTTCTACGCAACCACTTACGAATCCGTCTACGTTTTAGGACAATGCGAAGGAGATGTCGGAGACACTGATTGCAGCGGCTGCGTTAAGAACGCACTCGAGAAAGCTCAGGTCGAATGTGGAAGCGCGATCTCCGGTCAGATTTATCTACATAAGTGCTTCGTCGCGTATAGCTATTACCCAAATGGCGTTCCCAGAAGATCTTCTTCTTCTTCTTCGTCATCATCTTCTTCTTCTTCTTCCTCCAGCTCTGGTTCTTCAGATTCCTCGTCTTCTACAGGTTAGTTTTTTTTTCTTTGATAATTGGGTCCATCAGAATCTACCAACAAAACAAAAAAAGCATCAACCTTTCCTCAAATTGAACATATCTTTATTTCCGATTATAACTAAGGGATCTTCACTTTAATTTGAAGACTTTCATTGTGGGACTTGGTTCTTTGAAGTGGTGTACTTTTTTAATTTCTTTAAAACTAGTAACAGTTATACCTTGGAATTTTCAATATTCCCTATAGGCTGTTCTACAATTAATAACTATGCTTTCATTAAAATACTTTTGTACCCATAATTAAGATGTCTTCTTCAATTAAAAAAGTGGTCTACCACTAATTATTTTTCTTCAAAAAAAGTACTTTTGATAGAGATGTATTTTGTTTGTAATTTTGTTGATGGGAACATGAACATTTTTGATATGCCGGAAAAAAAATGGTGGAAAAAACAGGAGCAACAGGGAAGACGGTGGCAATAATAGTAGGAGGAGCTGCTGGAGTTGGCTTTCTTGTCATTTGTTTGCTTTTCGCCAAAAACTTGATGAGGAAGAAACATGACGGTACCATCCCTTTTCTTCACCTATCTATATTAAATTAAACACATGCATAAGCATCATACAGTATATGATTTACATACATGTAGATGTATAAGCCATATATATATGTAAAATGATATACATGCATTCATATCATACATACTGTACATACCAAACACATGCACATGTGATTGTAGAATATTATTATTAAAGGTAATAATAATACTATTGGAATTGTCATTACTCATTACAACGATATTTTCTTCTTTGGCAGACTATTGAAGAAAGATGGAGAGAAGAAGAGACCAAAAGGAGTCCAATCCCTCAAAAGAGTGAGAGAGAGGCAGACCTCAGTCACAACAAGTTTTCATTTCTTTTTGAGGCTATTAATTCCCAAAGTCCAAAACTTGTTTTAATTTCATGAAAATTGTTAATTATATTTTATTTTAATTTTGTTAGTTCATATTCTTGGGATGTAGGATTTTTTTTTTTTTTTTTTTTGTGTGTATGGGAAGACCATTAGTGAAATGTTCAAAAATTACTTCCAAAAAAAAAGAAGAGAACTTTGTTTTTTTTTTCTTTTTCTCAATCAATTACACTAACTATTCCAACTAAAGAGGGAGTTGAATATTAGTACTAGTCTCTTTCGTTATAAAGTTCGTACAATTAGAGTAACGTAAGCCGGAGCGAATCAATAAGCATTTATATTACATAGTTGGAATATTAAGGTTTGTCTTGCAAAAACACATTCGAATCTGCAAGAGACAACGAGACATCAAATTTGTTTTTTAACGAGATTCTCTCATCGTTTGACCAAAAAAACGAGATTCTCTCATTTCTGAATATACAACACATAACGGAGATGGGTGAAGCTTTCATGTAGAGGAAAAACTTATCAAGTATCAACCTTAGATTTCTTCTTCTTCTTGTTGATGATGATCATTCATCGATTTCCCATAGGAACCGAGCGTACTCTCCAAGAATAATGCTGGCCAAACACAGAAGATGATGATCATATTTCAGTTTTCTTTTCATATGTGAAAAGAAAAGAAACATTGTGTAAAGAGATACCTGTCATTAGGAGAGGCTTCAACGGCCTTCTCGAAATAGACCAAAGCCTTCTCATGGTCACCATTAATACTCCAGAACGCTTTCGCATATCTGCATAGCGTTTCTCCATCTTCTGTCTTGGACAAGCTTGAGCTGCTTTTTTCCCCTGCATCAGGCTTTTTTCCCCGGGACAACAACAATACTCAACATTAGAGACTTAAACCAAAAAGCCTTATGAACAATAAACACCAGGCAGAGTACAAACTTGGGATCATCACCAAGAACCCGCCTAATATGAGCTAAGATGACTACAAGATTCAATGTGAGATTGGAACATAACAGGTAATATTTTTGGTCAGCAGAGTAAACACCAATAAAATCTTTAGTGTTACAAAACAAAACCCACCTCAAATTCTTCTTTTCTTTTCCCGGTTAGGTCTCCAAAAGAGTCCTCATCCTCATCATCATCCTCGGCATCAATCTCCCAGAGGAAACTAGCATATGCCCCAAGAACATCGCTGAAAAAAGGAAATTACGTACAGTCGGGGTAAATTACAATCACACAATCAGAATTGGTATAAACAAGAATGATCCAACAGACCTATCCTCAGGAGATGCTTGAACAGCGCGTTCAAAGTAGTTCATGGCTTTAGCTTCATCTTGGTGAAGCTTCATTACTAATCTACCATAGTTTGCTAAAGCTAATCCATCACAAGGCTCAACTACAGTACACTTATGATAATACTCTTCAGCTCCACTAAGATCTCCTTTGTACTGTCATCACATAACAAGACAAAAATAGAAACTGGTTCAAAAACAGAGTTGATTATACAACACTATGATCAGAGTCAAAACTTCAATACCTCCAAGAAGTTGGCATAGTTTTTGAGAAGCAGAGGATGCAATGGATACTCTTCGAGCATTCCTTTGTAGTAAGCACCACAATTCTCATCATCAAGGCCCGGTAAATCGAATTTGATCTCATCAACATACAAATCAAACTTATCAATCCCTAACCCTGCAGCTAAATGCATAGGAGGACTTGGTGGTCTTTGAATCCCGAAACCTTGTTCTTCTCTCTCACCATCACCACCGTCTTCTTCTTCTACTACTTCCTTGTGTTTCGCAAAACTGAACTCGCCGCCGTCGATAGAATCACTAATCGTAACAGTTCTCTCCAAATTCTCCTTGATTCCAGAAACCGGATCCTCGGAACCGAACCCATCTCCAGAATCGCAGTAACTCGAGAGAGATGCCTCACTCTTCAGCATCTTTTTTTTTTTTTTGGGGTCGTTTCTCTTTAAATCCGTTCAAAGTCTTCACCTTTAGTAAACAGGTTTGGTTGAAATTGTGGTGGATCACACCAAGATTCCTCGGAGGACCCCAACACAACGACTCAATGTAATAATTTTGAGGTTCGTAAGTGAAGCCAGTTTGAGAGAAACAAGATAAGAGTGGGGTTGAAAACTTAGATTTCCTAGGAAACAGCAAATTTACGCAAAGGACCCTTATAGTATTATCTTGTTTTTAAATTTCTCTCTTCAAGTTTACTTTTAATCTATTTGACCCATAACTTCGCAACAAAACAATACTGTATTTTATTCAAGAAGTCATCAAATTAGTCAGTCTTGCTCTTCTTAAACCTTTCAACTCTCTTAACTCTTCACGCTAGGTCTCTTGTATGAGCTGTATCAAATATTCAATTTCAGTTAGCTATGTGTATTTGGATTTTTTCAAAAATTAGTTTGGGTTTCGATTTAGTCAAAAATTAGTTTTGGGTTTCGATTTAGAATAGAAAAAAAAGTGATGTGTTTGGTGACATGAAATAGAGAAAGAAGAGATATCCACATGAGTTTGAGCATTTCTTCCGGGAGGAGACAATTAGGTCCACATGAAGTGAGGTCTATTTGAGTATAGACCCCGCAAAGGTCAAGTGATAGAGAGAAAAAAAAAAGAGAACAACTTGTCAAATTCATTGGTCCATTCAAATAAAATGAAGCCCGTAGTAAATTGTGACAAGGATGTTTTTTAAGGCCAGCCACAAAATAGTAATCAGTTTTGTTCAGTTGGTTCACTTCTTTTTCTTTTCCTAACGGTTCAATTTGGACTAGAGAAACGCTAAATTTTGTTTTTGTCTTGTTAGAAAAAATTATATTTTAAAGAAGACATTGAACATATGTTTTGATTATAGAAGATCATTTACTATTTTTAAGACTTAACTAAACGTTTTATTTACAAAATGGAAAATAAATTAGTAGGAAAAACACATATGAGATATTGTAAAAGTCATGAATTCTTCTTATTCATTGCTATTTTACTTCAAAATATTATTCTAAAATTTTCAAGTTCCATATCTTTTGGTGAAGCAGAATTGAGTCCATCAACAATGTCAACTTCATACCTCACAAATATCTCCATATTTAGTAAACTTTAGCTGAAAATACACCACAATATTCCTAATAAACTCGTTGTCTTTCTCACATACACAAAACCAAATATAGCAAAATGGTTATTATTACCTATTCTCCCACTCTTTCGGAATTCTTTTACCATCAATCAAAAAATCATTCTCTTCTTCATTCATCATTATCCACTTCTCAGAATCGTGAATCGAGAATTGCGAGAGAGATCTCATTCTCCCTCTCGCAATTCTCAAAATCCTCAAATCCAATAAAAATATTTTAATGTAAAATTAACCTGTTGATCCACTATGTCGATGATGTTTCCATCATTTCAGTTGCTAGAGTTGAACATAATCTCAGCTCAAGACTTAGCTCCCGTGGCCCGCAAGACAAAGACTTATGCGGTGGCTTGGGTTCACCCTGAGCGTAAACTCACCACCCGTGTCGACTACAACGGTGGAACAAACCCAACTTGGAATGATAAATTTGTATTTAGAGTCAATGAGGATTTTCTCTACGCCGACACTTCCGCCGTTGTTATTGAAATTTATGCATTGCATTGGTTTCGAGATGTCCATGTAGGTACAGTTCGTGTTCTCATTAGTAATCTCATTCCTCCTAATCGTCGTCCTGGATATCGAACCAGCAATAATGAGTATCGTCGCACCCCACCTCCGGGAATGAGATTCGTTGCACTTCAAGTTCGTCGTTCTTCAGGTCGACCTCAAGGGATTTTGAACATTGGTGTTGGATTGCTTGATGGTTCTATGCGGAGCATGCCACTTTATACGCATATGGATTCTTCTGCTGTGGGATATAGAGATTTGCTTGGAGAAGAGGATCATCATCTACAACATTTGCATTTAAACAGTAATAAAGGGAGCTCAAAGAATCCACAATCTCCTTCTTCGAGACAATATCAATCTGTAATCTCTAGGCCTGAGCTCCGTCGTACGAAGAGTGATACAAGTTCTATGGTGGTCTCAGATCTTCTTAGTAGAGCTGAACGAAGCCGTTTGGCTAATAGACAACCAGCAAGCGTATTATTGAGCAGTGAATCAGAAACTATGCCTACAACAACAGATTACGACGATAAAAAATTGTCTGAGGACTCGCTTCCTAACAAAACCCCTAAGTTTTCAAGACAAAGATATGATTCTATCGAATCAGACCTCATAGATTCAGCGCTAATAGAGAAACCTCATGTGGTAACGCTGAGAAGGGAAAAACAAAAAGTTATATCTTATGGTTTAAACCATCAATCACGTCAAACATCAAGAAAAAAGACAATGTATGAAAAACAAAGATCAAAGAATGATTATGATCACGGTCGAGCTTCTCCATACTTATCAAGGCATGGGACACCGTTGAGATCAAATATAATCGCATCTACTCCGATGCGATCTAATGGAGTTGGATCCACTCCAATGAGATCTAACATCATCGCAATGTCACCAATGCATTCCAACATGGTTGGATCGACTCCAATGCGAACTCCAATCAGGTCTAACATGGTTGGCTCAACTCCAATGAGGTCAAACATGATCAGATCTACACCAATCCAATCAAATTACATGGCTGCACCGATGAAAACTCATCATGATTTTGGTACACCAATGAGAAACTTAGCTCGAAGAAGAATTTTAACTGAATCGGAGTTAGGTCCATCACCATCAGAAGTGGCTGAAAAATTGGCGAAAGATAAATCGCATGAAACAGAGAGCTCTATACTTAGCGAATGGAGTATCGACGAATCTAGCATTGAAGGATTACGTTCCAAGCTAGAGAGATGGCGAACCGAGCTTCCACCATTATACGATATAGGATCAAGCCACATAAGCAGCAGTAATTATGATGGTGCAAGCGTCCATGTCGCAACCGCCGGTGGAGGAATGAGTTCACGGCGAAAAACTCCTGCAACGAAAAAACATAATCGTCGTCACACTGACGGAGGTAATGGACTTTTTTCATGTTTTAGTAAGATTTGTGGCGTGGAATGCAGTTTTGTTTGCGGTGGTGGTGAACCTATAGAATCTGATGGGTCTACTAAGAAAGGTGGAGCTGGACGGATACATCGCTCATATTCTACTGATGATTTGAGCTTTGTGTAATCTTTAATTTTATATTAAATTCGTATTTTTAACCGAATCCATATATATTTTTTTTTTGGAATGGATGAATATATCAATCGTTAAAATAGTAAACAAATATAATCTTATTAAATGTTGATACATTATCTTTATGTGTGTATTCTTCTTAATTTGAAAAAAGTATTTATAAATTTTGTCAATGTTGATAATCATCTTTATAAATATTTGGTTTATACGTGATGATAGTATACAACCGTTTCGTTTATCTCAGAACCCGACTTTAGTTTCTATCAAATCCGTCAATTAGAATGATGAAATTAATGTACTCCATCGATAATATTGATCAAAATCGTAAATTCCACAAAGCTATTGCGCCTGCTATAAAGTTATTAACGGATAATCGAACATCATGATGAATACCTCATCAGTCCTCACCACGATTTATAATAATGAATCTTTATCCCCACCATTTTTTGTTTCTCTTTCTTTATTTTATCATTTTGTTCGACGACAATCATGGTCTCAAAAAGAAGGTCAAAAACAATAATTAATAATAACTAGGAGAATTCGCTTTGTTGTCAAAAATAAAATTAAAAAAATTTGAGTAGGAGAATTAATAAAACAAATACAAGTGGAAAAGGAAAAAGAACTAAAAAAGCAATTCCTTGCACACACACACGACACAACTGTAAACAAGTTTCTTGGGACTCCCTCTTTTATCTTGCTGCTTGAACCAAACACAACAAATAACGCAACGAGAGAGCACGACAGGTTTGATCATGTCGGGAAGAAAAGTTTGAGAAAAAACAATACTATTTTATAACAAAAGAGAAGACTTTTGTTTGGAAAAATTGGGGATTATGGTATGGCCATTACAAGACATATGGGTCCCCAGTTCCTCATCACTCTCTCCACCACCAAATCCTCTCTGTCTCTTTTTACTCCGATTTCATCGTCTCTCTCAAACCCTAAATACCCTCCTACTCTGCTTTTGTCTCTCAAGCTTCTTTTCTTGGCTTCTTTCCAAGACTCTCTCTCTCTTTTGGTATCTTTTTGGATTCTTCTGTTTCTTATTGACATGCGTGGTGGCGGTAGGTCAGAATTGGAGGTAGGGAAGAAGAGTAATGCTCCGGCTGAGACTGAGCTGGAACTGGGATTAGGGCTCAGCCTCGGCGGTGGCCCGTGGAGAGAACGTGGGAGGATTCTTACGGCTAAGGATTTTCCTTCTGTTGGCTTTAAACGCGCCGCTGACTCTTCATCTCACCAAGGAGCTTCTCCTCCTCGTTCAAGGTTCGTCCTTTCTTCTTTTTAATCAAGAAAGCTCGAATCTTTTGATGTGATTGTTACCATCTCAAAACATAGCTTGTGTAGGAGTTCAAGTTAGCTACTGTTCTTGTGAGAGTTAGGTAGCTTGAGAGAAGAAACGCCATTGATGAGCTTTTGCTTGTTCTGTGCTATATAGATTTCACCATGGAGTCATGCATATGTTGATTTGTTCGTAGTGATGATTTGTCTAATTGATTGCATCTTAATTTTCGAGGGTAACTGACTGGAAAATATTGGTTTGTTGTGGCAGTCAAGTGGTAGGATGGCCACCAATTGGGTCACATAGGATGAACAGTTTGGTTAATAACCAAGCTATGAAGGCTGCAAGAGCCGAAGAAGAAAAAGAAGAAGATGGGAAGCAGAATGATGGGTGCAAAGATGTGTCAGTGAAGGTGAATGGGAAACTACAGGGTTTAGGATTTGTTAAGGTGAATATGGATGGAGTTGGTATAGGCAGAAAAGTGGATATGAGATCTCATTCGTCTTACGAAGACTTAGCTCAGACGCTTGAGGAAATGTTCTTCGGAATGACAGGTCAGTGTTCTTGTCAAGTGCTTATACTGTACTTGAAAACCGATCTTGATCTATTTGACTATGGAGCTTCACTGGCATTTTCTTTTTAAACCATCAGGTACTACTTGTCGAGAAAAGGTTAAACCTCTAAGGCTTTTAGATGGATCTTCAGAATTTGTGCTAACGTATGAAGATAAGGAAGGAGATTGGATGCTTGTGGGTGATGTTCCGTGGAGGTAAGAATTGAAACTTGAGCTGTGTTCGACAATTCAAAGTCTGAATAGTCGTCTCTACATTAAGGTCTATATTATTTTCTCCCATTTTGTTTAGAATGTTTATCAACTCGGTGAAAAGGCTTCGGATCATGGGAACCTCAGAAGCTAATGGACTTGGTAAGTTTTAAACACCATCTTTTGGATTCTTGATTTCTCATTTAGTCATCGTGATCAATAAAAACATAAATGATTGAAAACATTCTTAATGCAGCTCCAAGACATCAAGAGCAAAAGGATAGACAAAGAAACAACCCTGTTACCAAAGATGGCACTGTTATGGTTTCTTGAGTTTTGCAAGTTTTACTCATTACTTTTAGGAGAAAGTATACTGGAGAATCGAAAAAGGCAAAGTACAACCTTATATTTGTTTTTAATCCGGGTCTTCGGATATGGTTTTACTCTATGTCAATTTCAATTCCTAGTTTCCTTGTTTCTTCTTTCGCTGTGTAATAAGTTTTTTTTTCTGTTCTACTCAGAGAATGCTCTTGTTTACTTCTCTCAGATTGTAAATAGTCGAAGCTAAATTAATTATGTGTAGGAGTTGTGTTTCTCTTTGGGTGTTGTTGATTTCAAGGATTGTATTACACTTCCTTCATATTGTATACTGTATCTCAAAACTCAAAAACATTTTGGAGAAACAAAGAAGACTGGAAAAAATAGAAAAACTGGTCAGTTTGCCCAAAAAAAAAA